TGTCGGATTCTCCATATTATATTTGTCTGTCGTCTGGAAGACACTACGGTCACTGTAAGAGATAAGTGAAGATCTAAGGCTCATTGTGTCACTAGCCATTTGTCTAAATGTCTTGGCAGCATAACAACTATTGTATATCTTAAGGCAATTCTGACGTAACTACGAGCCGGTTGCTTTAGAGCGTTTATAAGTTGACCATTATAAGTGGTGTACAATGGAACATAAAAGATCTTAAGTATGGCATGGTTTTTGATGGTGAAGCATCTACTGCCGGCGGTAAAAAAGACTGCCGTAACGACAAAGGGGTGATGCTTTCTCGTGGCGTCATTCTCTCAACGCCACTTTTATTACACTTCGTTACTTTTATTCTGTTTTAAATATTAAACATATTTATCATGTAATTATTATGGTATGGAAAATAATAAGGAAAATATATTGATAATCATATTTGCGTCGTACCGTGACGGCCATTTTTTTTATTTTACAGTTTTCAGAAAAATACAACTAGCGTTTATTAATAAAGTGAACAAAGGCCAACTACAAGTTTTATCAACTATAAATAATATACATGAGATTACGGATATATCACTAAACAAGATAACTGCACACATCTCCATATTCACACATCTACCTCCACGTCGGTTAAGGGGTCCGTACCTTCCTGTTTCTTTTCCTATCGCCAATGAAGATGCTATACGTCATCACTACATAGTATAAAACAAAGTCGTCCCGCTATCTGTCTGTCCCTACGTATGCTTAGATCTTTAAAACTACGCAACGGATCTTGATGCAGTTTTCTTTTCCTAGATAGAGTGATTCAAGAGGAATGTTTATATGTATAATATACATTGCACCCGTGCGAAGCCGGGCCGGGTCGCTAGTTACTACTAAATAACACATTAAGCCGAAAGCAGACGGGAGATTAAAGAGAAATAATGTGTAAAATTGTATGCTTGGTAAAACTTCACTATATTAAATCATTTCAATCCTAACTAATATTATATGACGATCTAAGAAGGTTTATTATTTTTTTTTAATTCAAAGAAATACCGGACAAACCAAACGATGCAAGCCGCTCAGATACTGATAAGTGAGGCTGGGGGCGGAAGTTAATGGACTCCAACAGCACCAGAGATGGGAAACGATATTTGATATTATTTGTGTAAAGGATATAACAATAGTTGCGTCAACCATTACTTGAAATGCAAAAAAAACAGCTCAGATAGAAGACGTTGAGATTTTCGTCGGTGTGGCAATCGGCCGTTTAGATTGGCGGTTAAAGCATCTGGGCGCGAATCCGGAAGTAAGGGTTCGATTCGAAGCGGCGGCGAAAAACTTTTCTACAAAGTTCAGATATGAGTACCATTAAAAGTTTAAATAACATCAGAGATCTTAAAGGTATTCATCTACTTAATACTCGGTGTTCCGTAAGTTACTGATTACTGTGCCACCGGAAAAAAAATCGGAGGAATATAAACAGTTTCACTTCGCGCCGCATTTCCGGTGAGGCCGGTACTTCCCCGATTCGACGTTTTCGTGTAGATGGAGGCTTTATTTATGTTTATTAGGCGTTATTCAAAATCAAATATCTTTATTAAATATAGAAGCAGTTGTAAATGTAACTGCTTCTATATTATTATTGATTATCAACACTGCCACCGGTTCGGAAAAGAAATGTTTGATGGTTGGGGCTTTACCGTAGTGACACTAATATATTTCATAAGCGCATAGTTCCGTCTGTACGTTGTGTAATTTCAACGAAATCTATGTAAAGTAACAGCCTATAAATGTCCCACTGTCGGGCAAAGGCCTACTCTGTACAAAGTCTATTGAGGCAGTCGCGTGGTGGACTATGCCCTGATACCCTCTTTACAGAGAAGGCCTTTGCCCTGTAGTGGGACATTTATGGCTTGTTACTTTACTTACTTTAATTTTAGATTGATAAGCCTTTTCGTTGGATAAGGCTGGACATGCTCATGCGTGTGTCACTAGAGTGGGGACTGTCACACGGAACATGATGTTTTGGTACGGACCGTGACCCCGATGGCCGTCGTATAAACCGTCGGCTGGGGGCGCAACGACCTGGAACCCAGGTATACCATGGAACAGGTGCCGGGCAAGGGCAAACCAATCGGCGTTGTATGCTAGTAGTGATAGTATGTGGGTAAAGTGCTGTCATGCTTCGATTGCGGTTCGTCGTAACCAATTTCGAATTCGATTTTCCTCACGAAGTGTCAAGGGAAGTTAAACGCGCGGGAAAATTTTAATTATTTACCTCATCTAGCTCAAGTACGCGAGGCAATATGTGCACACGTAATGTGAGTATTTAGTAGAGTGGTTTTTTATGTTCTCGAATGACGAACGAAAGCATTTTACGTTTTATTTACTTCCGTCTCGATTATTTATGAAAGTTAAGCATATAATGCTAACTCAATTTTTTATTCAAAATAGGCTCATTTTAAGCTCTTATAGAACGTCAAAAACTACCACCGGTTCACTTAACTATCCCCTTTTCCCCAAAATGCCGCTTTTTGCTCAAGTTTTTTTCTACACAACGTTCTCTGGTCCCAAACGAGGCAACGCTTGTACCATGGGTACTAGATAACTGATAAACATTATTTTCTTTTGTAAATAAATACATATTTTTTAAAATCACTATTCATCACATTATATTTCCAGTAGTGGGAACGAACCCACACCCTCTGGCAGACAGTTACACTACCCACTACGCCATTCGGGTCGTCGCGGGAGCTTTTTAAGGTTCTTTGAGTTCGGGCCTATATCATTTTCAAGTCTCTATTCTTTCATTATTAGCACTTGAGGCACCTGACATAAACCTTAACGACACCATCGGATTCTGCCGGGACGCTACACAGAATCGTTAACTTAGTTATAAGCCGTAGAGGCAGTACAAATTGATCAGTGTGCAGTTTTTATTCTTGTTTTTCTTTTAACCCTGAGGTTACCTCTACCACGATGAGGTTGGCCGAATCCGTTGAGATTGGATCCTTTTTTTTTTCAAATAACAAGAAAAAAGCAGTAAGTTCGACACATATATAAATAAATAAATCCTCGGATCCGTCAATGAACAAATCCGACCAATTAATGGAGAGACGCCCTTGGCACAGAAGTTTATATTAAGGCGAGGTCACGATAGGATTTCAAATGTGGAATGTTATGGCTCGTAAACTTATTATAAATTCAGGTTATTGGCATTACAAACATACTGGCACATTATATCAGCGTGTTATCAGTGCCGATGCAATTACATGTAATCACGTTATCAAAACAGTGGTAAAACAGTATAGAACACGATTCTCTTCATATGGACAAGTGGGAGACATTGTTTGTGCAACTATAGTAGGTTAAATTATTAAAAGCACTTATCTATTGCATATTGTTTCAATCTATTTAAATTGGTTCAATCTATTAAATTGTTACTCTATCTATAATATATCTCTAATTAAAAAAAACCGGCCGAGTGCGAGACGGACTCGCGCACGTAGGGTTCCGTACCATTATCTATGAAAACGACCGCAAAATCATGTCTATTGTATGGGAGTTCGAATTTTTTTTATTGTTTTTTAGTATTTGTTGTTATAGCGGCAACAGAAATACATGATCGGTGAAAATTTCAACTGTCTAACTATCTCGGTCCCGGTTTGAGATAAAGCCTGGTGATAGACGGACAGACAGACAGACAGACAGCGGAGTCTTAGTAATAGGGTTCCATTTTACTCTTTGAGTACGGAACCCTAAAAACGAAATGGACTAAATTTGGGTTTAGAGATTGAAGGTCGGGATTTAAGGATCGGTTTTAGTCTAAAACTGTAAAAAAAATGCCACAAATAAGAAATATAGAGTCAAAATAAAACTTAAATTACTTAGTCCAATTTTTATCTTAACTCTTTATCTAACATTAAAAAGGAATAAAATTCGTTCATTCGTGTATAATGGATAACATCAGTTATTTCAATATGTAATATTAACTTTGACCTAATATTGGCCAAATGACAATGTCTTAGGAAAATTTTACCAATATTAAATTGATCTACCAGTTAGAAAACAGGTCAAGTATTCTAGTACATTTAGAAGATTATTTTCCTTTGCCTAACACCGCTATCGGTGACCTACCTACAGTTGACACAACTAAGCGGCTGTCTTGTATTGGCAGATTCTCATTACGACTATAATGTTTTCAAGGTGCTCATGAATGAAATGCGATACAAAATATAAATGATTTATATGTGGTACTTAAGAAAATTCAAGTAATTGCTAGAGGACACTCAAAATGCCTAAGAACTAAACTATTGGAATTTTTTACAGGAACTGCCTGTATTATATACAATACGAGTTAGATATCACGCTGGCGCACCGAAATTGAGCCACTCAAATTACGCCAACTGTTGTAATTAGATTGCAATTCTTTATATTGGCTATCTCTTACCGTATCATACGTTGTATATTATCTGACACTTCTATATGTTCACTTCTATATTTATATTCACTTATACATGTAATATAATGTAAAGCGGGACAGTTTTTAAACGTCGCACAGTATGGGCATGCGTCAGCTACCTATATTAATACGTGAAGCAAAAACTTTGAGTATGAAATTTCCAATACTTAAACTTTATATAGAGAAGGAGTGCAGAATACTAATATTTTTTTTTTAATTATGCACAAGAAACACATTAAATCGGTATAGATTACGCATACTATTATGTATTCGACGCGCACTCATTTGTTTATTGGGAATAGAATAATATTGTTCAAACTTGGTCGAATTTCGACCACACGGCGTCTAGTCTACATTAATAAACATCATTGTGCACCGGCAGGGCCGGATTTAGGGGAGGGCAACCGGGGCAACCGGGGCCAAATTGGGGCCTCCACTCCTTTGTTGCCCCGAGGCCTCCAGACCTCTAAATCTGGCCCTGTGCACTGCAACTGATTTAATTTTAATTTAGACTAAAAAAAAGCAATCGTGAAAGACATACCCTCTCCTCCAAATGGGTGACGCCCGCGAGGCTCTGGTAGAACGTCGGCGTCTCCAGGTCGTAGTTGACGCTGCCCTGGTTGGAGAGGAGCCATTGGGACAGGACCGTGGCGTCTTTGTGTATGAGCAGCCACGAGCGGAACTGCTCGAAAGCCACTCTATCGCTCGGCCCGAACAGGCTGGTCAGGATGTCCGATGTCCGTAGAGCTTCCGTTTCCGGCAGGGAGGTGTTCTCGATCTGGAGGGCGCGGGCGAAGTCGCGCTTGTATATGTAAGTGCCATTATCGCTCTGGTTGTTCACGTAGAGCGTCCACAAAAATCTAAAACAATTGACGACAATTTGTATGATGGTAGAAACATTTTTATGTTAGGAAGTAGCAAACCACCTGTGGACATTTGCAACACCCGTAGGGTTGCATCTCAACACCAAATTGGGCCCCGGCTACCACAATCACGAGACGGGACACAAAGTTTATCACTTATACTTCCAGTCATCTGTGAGGTTGTGGTCTTATCCTGATGGACCTGCCCATTTGTGCAACAACGAACACTGTTTTGTGCCCCTACCACATTTAAGACATTTATGCCTAGGTCTACATTTTAAAAGTATGGCTAAGAACCTAAAGACTGTAATTTTTTTTTAAACAAAGTTTTTGTAACAGAGTTTGAATAATGGTAAATGAGTACTAACATCCATTGATACTTAAGACTTCTGATTTCCTCAGTCAGTGTACATCACTACATAGTATAAGACATAGTCCCGCTTTCTGTCTGTCCCTATGTATGCTTAGATCTTTAAAATTACGCAACGGATCTTGATGCGGTTTCTAACTAGAGTGATTCAAGAGGAAGGTATATATGTATAATACATTCCACCCATGTGAAGCCGGGGCACTAGTAAAAGTATAAATGCTTTTACTTCCAGCCTTCATGTGTGAGTTGAACTTTCCTACTTATCATGGGAATTGATATAAAAATTGTAACAGTTGTTGGTCTAAAACTGAGATGCTCTTTACTTCAACATAACTATTGCTTAGTATTATATAGTATGTAACTAGTTTTAAAAGCAAAATACAGCTTTCTAAAAACTAGTTTGGGGACGCATACTATTGTTATACTGTGGTAATTAGTTATATTACTTTGTGATTAGCATTAAGTCCAAAAAAAATTGCAAATAAAGGATATTAGCATTATTATTATTTTTTACTATCAACTAAGAATTTCTAATGCCACACAGTCTATTGTTTGATCAAACCTTAAAATTAATGCAATAGAGACATGCAAATCTGGAGTAATATAACAATCTCACAGAAGACCCGTGTAAAGTGGAAGAGTTATACTTCTGCATTTTGTCTCCTGAATGAGGTAACCGAGCCCATTTTATTAAGAGGTGGCAATGCATCTGCAATTTAACAGGTGTTGCAAATGTTCATGGGCGGGGGTTATCATTTACCATCAGGTGAAAAGCCAGATTGCTTGCAATCTTCTTAAATTATAAATATACATCTCATCATGTTTCATACTTACATGTAACACCTTAACAGAAATAGCCAGATGTAGTTACTGTTACTAACATTTTACTTAGCTCATATCCATCCCTAGCTCAGCATTAAGCATCAAATCTATAGGTATTTAATAAAATCAGTTCATATAGCACAGACTTTGATTAATTAACAAAAACAAATTTTTATCAATGTCAAATCGGAGTAACAAATGTTCTGTATTTATATCAGTAACCATATTTCTAGTAAAATCAGATGATATATTAAGATAATAGGATAAAAAAGATATAATGAAGCAATCAGATTGTCCTTAAATTGTTCTTAAGTAATTATGGTTCTTAAGTAATTATTATAGCATGGGAAAGTTGGCAATGCATCTGCAACCCCACAGGTGATGTAAATGAGCAGTGGTAGTGATTAAAAATGAACTGACTGTTCATTTGCCATCTTATGACATAAAACTTATCAAATAAAGGTACTTTAAAATATAATAAATAAATTCATGGTTTATCAGAAGCAGAAAATTATCATAAAATAAAAATTATCATTTTATTCTGAAATCTCAAACCTCTAAGGTTAAATATATTCTATTACCAAATTTTTATAGTGGACATAACATTGAACATGTAAATTATGCTTTATTATTTATTTTTGTTGCCTTGTTTATCACAGTGTCAGGGCCAATCTTGTGAAAATGGAGTAATTACTTGCTTTAATTTTTTTTATATATAATATAATATTTACATAGCAAATATTTTATGATACATTACAAATCTTCCCCTTTATGGTGTTGTAGAAAAGTTGTCTTTTAGAGACAAGAAAAATATAATAATTTGATAAAAATGTCGTTTTTTTTTTAAATAAAAATGTGGCTTTAATTTTTCAATCTGTTTAAATATTGATTGATTAAGTCGTGAACTCCGCGGAAAACAATTTATATAATATAAATTAAAGCGAAGATGTACTTCATAAAATACAATCAAATTGATAACAACCATCTCTTTTAATACATTCTACAAAGTGGACTCATCAAAATCTTACAAGAGTGATTAACAAGAAAATTCAAGCTCTTACTTGATTTTCTCCTCGATATTTCCTTTGGTAAGGACAACGATGCCACACAGAAGATCCCTAAATGTGATCCCTCGTTTTGTGCCTCCGCAGGCCTGATACAACCATTCTGCCACTTCGAACGGTACACCATCACACAGCACTTCATGGACGAAAGCGTCCAAGCTCAAGGTCGTCCCGTTAGTACCGGCACATCTCTTGAATGCTTCACGAATACGTCGCAGTTCACTCTCGTTTACTGCAAACAAAAGTATGCAATAGAATCATATTGACTTCTTCGTAATACAAAAACGCACTTATCACATCGCGTACCTCTTTTCGTAGCATCTTCATAAGATATAAAACTTGGTTTTGAATCTTTCGCCCCCATATTCGATTACCCTCGACAATCATAACATTTTTAAGTCGTAATAAACACAAAGAAACAAAAATTATTACAGCTGACAGCTCACGTCGTATGATCTGTAGCCATATTGAATATTTTTAATTTTTTTTTTCGTCCTCATACCGTAGTTGCACTCTACATTGCTCTATGACATACACTTGTTCGACTTCTCATAGCCATACAAAGTCGAGTTCTCATTTCTATTCTGCTGTAGATGACAATAACGACTAAATTTAGATAATGACATAACCTGTTATGTTATTTCTTAATTACCGTTTTTGTAAACTGTTATGTATTATTGCTAATTTATGTAAGACAGATTAACAGAGCTGTCATTTGACCGCTTTCGGCTCTAGACATGTGACTCTTTTCATATATTTTTTATTTAATTACAATTAAAAAAAATATAGTGAATCAAATTAAATCATCGAAATTAAAGGTTGAATATAAACTAACAAATAATCTATCACTAACCAAATGAAACAATCAAAACATAATTTAATGTCATTCATTGCCTGTCAGTGTTCATCTTAAATCATCATTTCCAAAACTTAAATTTTAGCTTAATACAAACTTATAAAGTTTATATTCATTTAGCCATTTTTCTATGTGACTTAAATACGCTTATTAAATATAGAACTAGACTAAAAAAATATCGTGTGTTGGTAATAGTTTTAAAAGAAAATTAAGCTTAACAAGCACGCATTATAGGTTGTTATCATACGCAATCATCACCTAGTACGTTCACAATATTACACTCAATAAATCGTCGACTTGCTACTGGCTGAATACCAATGGACCGACAGCAATTTGTTCGTGTCATCATCAATCATGTTAAAACGTTATAAATAACATGTAATGATTTAAAAGAAAATTAACCTTAAGAACTGTACATGAGAGGTTATTATACTATGTAATGCATAGCGAATTCGATCCCCGAATAGAATCAACAACAATGTTATTGTACATGTCTAACCGAATAGAATCAACAACAATGTTATTGTACACAGTATAATGTCTTATGGCATTCTACTTTGGGGAAATTCAGCCGACATAAATACTATTTTCATCCTGCAAAAGAGAGCTATTCGAGCGGTTTATAACCTGGGCCCCAAAGACTCACTAAGAAACCTGTTTAAAGAAATAAAAATATTGACTGTAGCTTCTCAGTACATACTTGCTAATGTTATGTATGTCCACAAAAATAAGAATGACTTTTCAAAATTTAGTAATGTGCATGATGTAAATACTAGGAACAAGCATAAATTAGTTCTACCCTCAACTAGATTGCGTAGAATAAGTAAATCTTTTATGGGACAATGTATACGCTTTTACAACAAAATCCCAGAAAACGTTCAAAATGAATCCGTTGCTAAATTCAAAAAACTTGTAAAGGAACGTTTGTGTGTTAATGGCTATTATAGTATTAGTGATTATATGAATGATAACACACTCTGGAAATGAATTGATCGCTCCAGGCTCTTTCAAGTGGATTTTAATAGGAGTTTAATAATTGTACACATATTTGTAATTTTTTTGGCAAGTAAAAAAAAAATAATGTCCCGCTGAGTTTCTTACGCCGGTTCTTCTCAGGTCAGTGGCTTACCTTCCGAACCGGTGGTAGAGTTTTTTGACTATCAATAAGTAAGTGAATGCTTCTATATTGAATAAAGATATTTGACTTTGACTTTGACTTTGATTGACTATGGCTTAATAAAATTATCAGTACCATTTTTTTGTGAATATGTGGCAAGTGAGCTGGTGGTTCTATCATCTTCCTAATGTTGTTTTGGCTGTCGGATGCGTCGTAAAAATTTTCCTCGCATCACTTTTTCCAACTTAAAAAATAATAGAATAAACTTAACTTAAAAAAAGTAAATAATCTGTGTAATAATGCCTCAAATTATTATTCGTACCTTTACTGTTCCGAGGAGGTGAGAATGTAGAAATTATTAATGTGTGCAGTGGTAATAATGGATCTGTTCCGAAGATAACTTCATATATTATTTATCATTATAATTGTTAAAATAACAAAATACTCTATAACAGGGGAGTGAAAAAATTATGTTTATTTAAATTTTATCCATATTTTTAAAAGTATCAGTAATTATCTAGTGAAAAAATATCGATGTATAAAGCTTTTGATAGAATAGACATAATTTTCTAAACATCGTAGACGAATTCAACTAGTTGAATATAAATAGAAATCTGCACATGCCTGGTTACCATTTATTGTGATCCAAGAGCTGGCTCGTACTTTGGCTAGCAAATCAGCCTCGCGATCACGCGGCCCACAGATGCCGGCAATTTGGCCAACATTTTCTAGTTTAGTTTTTAAAATAAGTGCTCACTTTGTTTAGTAATATTTTATTAATTTTGTCACCTATTAAGTTTTATATAGACTAGTTGATTTCGTGTAGGGTTAAAGTTAATACGTTGTCAAGAGATCGACAGTTCATGTAACTAGTTCGTTGATTCAACGCCCGTCACTAAATTTGACATTTGACATTGAGTGACCTGTCAATTGACATCGCTCGATATCTACAAACTCATAACAAAACAATAAAAATATATATATTTTTAGTAAAGCTGCCAAATAAAATATACTACTAAATAAAAATAAATTATATAACTAAATTTGTGTTTTTAAATATTACTTTCTGACCATTAGAATCTGTCACGTTATGTTTATTGGTGTTTTTTTAGTATTGTGATCTCACCAATTTTTGTATAGCCTTGTAAATGCCTGTGTCTTTGTGTGTTTTGCGAATAGAAATTGACGAAGATCTACCCGAAATGGGCGATAATCCTTCAGAGGCTGGTAAATTAATCTTTAATTTCAATGTCATCACTCATGTTACTCCATCTATGTAATGAAAGTAAAGAATTTCTTATTCCTGATGAAGGAAATATTTAAAATGAATAGAACCTTTGCATTAGGTACATACAATTTTTTCGTAAATTTGTAGCTAAGACTATGATTGCCGTTTTCTTTATTCATAGAAGCTGCCAAAGAACAAAAGAGGAAAGACCGTGGAGCCCGCGAGAGTAAAACTATAACTGTAGAGACATATGCTAGTGTTCTCATTGGTAACAATACTGACACAGGCATTTTACCGACAAGCTCCAGAAGATCTCCTCCAGAAAACATTTGTTGTGGTGATGAAGATTCAATTAGTTTTTTCTGTGGCAATCCCTTGGTTGAAGTTACCAAAGGAGTACTCCATATATACAAAGAAAAGTGAGTTACTGTTCGTTGAATATTTAAGAAAATTTCATAAACCATTTCTTGCTCATACTAAATATATTGCATATAATTTGACACAGAACTTGAGAGATGTGCATAACAGTGCTTAAGTAATGTCATGTTTATTACATCACTCTCTGAAGTAATATTACTCAAAAGCATTGCACATTACTTATCACCCAGTAGGTCTGCCCTAGTATGTTACATTATTATAGATGAGCAAATGTTTATACTGTGATGATGATGTGTTACAATTTCATTACTATAACAGGGATTAAAGTGTAATGTGATTCTGATTTTTACAGTGTAATAAGAATACAATATAAATTAGAATAATAATTGCATACATCATCATCATCTTCACCCAATCAAGACCCTTAGAATGCCACAATGAACACACATGCATTCAATATTAGCTTATTTTTTTATTAAAGTGTAACATTCATATCTGCTCGGGGTACATATAGTGTAATTTCTTAAGAAAAGAATCTTATTTGTATTCAGTAATGTTTATGATTGTGAAATTTGAAATATAAAATATCTGTATTTCCGTCGATCACAAAGTAATGCTTGATATAAAGTGATGCTCTGGTAATAGGTAATGAATTTGAAATTGCCAAGTTATGTTACTTTATTACTTACTATTGTTTTTTTTTGTATGACAAACATAACATAAAGTTTTTGTAAGAATTTTAATTAACAGAAATGTTGACTTTTAGTAACTTGTATAAAATAATTGGGTGTATAAAACTACACTTTATGCGCTGTGTTTATCTACAGTGAATTGAAGGAGACAGAAGAAGCGAAGACACTCTGCCTGCTCTCAGTGCCTGGAGCTTTAGGCGCGCCAGACCTTCTCGCTTTTGCCGCAGCCTGCCAGCAAGACATTGCACATGTTAGAGTTTTGAGAGATGGCTCGCCAGATCATTACATGGCATTACTTACGTATGTAATTTTTTTTTGTCAATTGCCCTGAATCAGAATACCAGTATGTGTTATATCCATCTTTTTACTCTTACTTTTAAATACACATACTTCTACCAATACTAATAAATAAACTAACAAAAAAAGTTATGACACTTTTGTGTGGAAAGCATTGTGCCCTAGAATCTATTGTAGTCTTTCCTATCACATCATTGCCCTTTACTGTAGGATGACATTATCTTGTGTTGTTACAATGTTTTGCATTCATAAATTTCATGTGGTCAAATATCCAGATCCGAAACTATTATCTGTGGGTCACACTTAGATTTGTTTCATGAGCGTACCGAACCTTCGAGGCCTTGCGCTAAAGGTAATATCTTCTAGAATTTCACAATGCCTAAGGACTGGCATTATGATCTTCCCCCTTAAAAAAGACTCTTAATTCGCCAGCCACCATATTTGAACTTGGGTTATTAAATTTTAATAAATTAGCATAAGTGCTCTACACTTACCTACCAACCCACTGTGTAAATAATAACTTAAAATAACAATTTGTAACTCCCGCATCGTTACAGATGATAACTTTTTTAAAAGTAGACCCAGGGTACCTCTCCCACTCGAATGTAGCGCAAAGTGTAATATTTCTACTTAATGCTGATCTAATATGAGGCCTTTCAATAACTTTGACAAGCCTGCCTAATCACATAACAGCAAAGGCTGCTCGATTGTCTTACGATAGTTAAGCGAACTAATTAAATTTAACCATATACAAAGAGTTTATTTTAATATATTTTTTTTAACATAGACATAATAGAGAAGTCTTTGTCAGATTTCGGACGTCAGCCGCCGCCCGAGAGTTCCACTCGGCTTTCGACGGCGTCCCATACAGTACCCTGGAGCCAAATGCTCTCTGCCACATGGCCTGGGTGTCACGCGTAGAGTGGGCAAGGGATGGCACCCCACCACCTTCCCATACCGAGCTACCCACTTGTCCAGTCTGTTTGGGTTTGTTTTTAGCCTTTTCTGTTTAAATTGAACATTATGCAAAAGGAGTTAAGAATGGTTATAAATTGCAATGTTTATTATTTTATTGATTGCGTAATAATTTATAACAGTAGGGTTTTTACAGCTCACAACTCTGTATTAAGAATCACTACTCAGTAAATTATCATTTTCAACTATCTACTGCTTTATTGGAAAAACATCTCACCTTTTTAACCTGCTATATAGTACATACTACTATTATTATATAGTAGTATACTATACAGTACATATTACTATGTCTTATTTATTGTTCGTACAAAGAATACTAAAAATAAAGACAAAACATTGGTGAATATGATATTTCTGTTGTTTTTTTCTTCTCACGATATTCAAAGATTTACTGGCTTTATTTTGTTAAAATACCGGACGAGTAAGACATATAAGTTGACGTCGCATATCAACCTTTACGAAACGGTTGAATATAATATCGAATATACAGGGAGACTTTTCAAAGTGTATCCATTTTTTTTATTAAATTCTAGACATAAATAATGTTATATAAAAATGATAAATATTTAAAATCACACGAAATTAATTATTTACATACATTTGAACTTATCTCAAAATGTGCGTAATTTATGGGCAACTCATTTATTTTACGCGCGATCATTCATAACTAACACGCACACAAGTTTGTTTCAAAAGTATACGACGCATTTATGAATGACTACCGCATTGTTAACAAGTTCTGTTTTTTAGGGAATAGAATTGCATTTTTTTGGGGAAAAAAAAACTTTTGAATAAACATTTGTTCTTATTTCAATGAACGATTATACTACCGAGTGTGAACCTCCTGTGTGAACTTGGGCGCCTTTAGGAAAGCCACCCTGTATAGTCAGGTCCACAGTCCCATGGTAGTGACGTTACAACAAGAAGCCCCATTGGCGGCGCAGAGCGCATGGACGAGAGCGTGGCGGGCGTGCTGAGCGTGCAGTGCGCGCACGCCTTCCACGCGGAGTGCCTGGTGCGGTGGCGGGACGCGCGCTGCCCCGTGTGCCGGTGCGCGCAGACCCCCGAGCCGCGGGGCGGCGCGCGCTGCGACCAGTGCGCCGAGGGCGGGGGCGGGGGCGGCGGCGGGGGCGGAGGGGCCGAGGGGGCGGAGCCCGACGCGGGCGCGCCCGAGGGGCTGCCCGACGGACTGGCGCCCGGCGCGCTCTGGATCTGCCTCATCTGCGGCCACGTCGGCTGCGGCAGGTGCACCATCATAACTGCTCACGAGCATCAAATTGGCCCTCGCTAACCCTATATTCAAATTCAAATACCTATATTCAATACTAGCTTTTCGCCCGCGGCTTCTCCCGCGTTGAACGCCTTAAATAAATGTCTATCCCCTTTGAGAACTCTTTATAACCCTTTTTCCAATAAAAAAAAGCCTTTTTCCAATAAAAAAATACCCTATGTCCTTTCTCAGGCTCTCGACTATCTGTGTAACAAATTTCATTTAAATCGGTTCAGTAGTTTTTGCGTGAAAGCGAGACAAACAGACAGAGTTACTTTCGCATTTATAATATTAGTATGGATAGTATGGATAGACGCATTACACTTACTTATTGACTGTCATAATTCTTCTACTATCTACGCCTTAGATCTCTTCTAAAAATATGCTTCGCAAGTTTTTGATGGAAAAGCTAAGTCCATGTAAAATGTAGGAAAACTGAAACCAGATCTTGGACCCTGTGCTGGAAGGCTTAATCAGATGGGTTAAAAAGTAATTGTACCTTGTCTATATTTCCCCACTGCAAAACAGTTTCAAAGCACAGACACACTAAGTTTTTTTATTTTTTTCTGTGGAGCTGACAGAACTACTCAAATGATTGTTTGCCAGGGAATCAAATTTATCTGCATCTTCTTTATTCCCTTTAACCAATTCATATAGTGCTGCAATGTGTTGTTGGATTTCTCTTTTCATATTTTTAGTCATATTTTGTAATTGTTCCTTTATATTAAGAAAATCATTTTACAGCTTTAGTGTGTTAATATTTTGAAAGGTACGAGGGTGGCCACGCGGCGAAACACTTCCTGGCGTCGAACCATACGTACGCCCTCCAGCTGGGCTCCAATCGAGTTTGGGACTATGCAGGTTGGCAACATTGCAGTATTTTTTATGTAGTAGAATCAAACTTTAAATTAATTTTATTATACCTTTATTATAGCAGGGAGAACCTGTTACCCTAATATGGGGGTGAGAAATGTGCACATGTGTTTCGGTTTTATAGAAACTTGTAGGCGGGGTTGTTAGGAGCTGCTAATAAGCGATATTCCGTCTCTGCGCATCGGCAGCATTGATAATAACAAGAAAGTTATGTTTAACGCTTTCAACTTTCGTTTGCAGAAATTAGTTACTTGCATTATTTGTGAACCTATGACCTCAAACTTTATAATGTAACATAATATATTTTATTGCTAGTTATAAAATATAAAATATTTACGTTCCGTAGGTAGCAGCTGACACCTACATTCGAATTTTGTAACTTGAAAAGGTAACAAGGCTTAGAAATAAGTAAGTTTTCATATTGAAAATGTTGTAAATATGAGTTTCCTTCGTAAGTATTGTATTACTTTATTACATAATACTTACTAATCCTCAGAACGCACTGATAATTGCAACCGTTTAGATTTATACGTATTAGCACGAGTTAATATGGATGTGTTCGAAACGACAGGCGACAACTTCGTCCACCGCCTCGTGCAGAACAAGACTGACGGCAAACTGGTGGCCGCCGAGGGCGGCCTGGCCTCAGAGGACTCCGCGTGTGGGGGGGAGAAGCTGGACTCGGCCCAGCTGGAGTTCACCTACATACTGACACAGCAGCTCGACAGCCAACGCATGTTCTACGAGGATAAGATCACCAAGTGAGTTCCGTGTTGTTCAGTGCGCAATGAAAAGTGGATATAACGCGAATTGTCATATCTTTATGCAAATTTATTTAGTTGCGATAAAACCGCGAAAGCCCTAAGCACCTTTTAATAACTGCACATTGAAAAGGTGACGTAGCGCTTCTTAGACCAAAAGACATACAATGTAGTTTAATTGAATTCAAAATCGATTCTAGAATCTTTTTAATCCTATAAATGCAAAGAATATGTCTTTGATATGATGTGATAAATAAGAGAATTATGAAATAAAAGTAATATACAGCGTGTCGTTACCATCGCGACAATAAATGAACACACGTCTAACGCTACTTGCCAATAATCATAAAAAAAATATTAACGTTAAACAAAATCCATAATAAAAAAAAATATTTTTCAAACAAACTAATTGAGTAAAAAAGAAACAAAATTTGTAACATCCTATACAGCTCGTGCCACAGCGTCGCATTACAAGCCTCTCCTTCTATCAGTATGTTTTGTCTCTTTTAAATTCATTCAACCCATTCATATGCTTTGTGACCTTTACAAATGAACTTTACGTTACAGTTTTATACGTAAGGATGTTCTAAAATTTTTTGTTTTGGAAAATTTAATAACTCGGTAAATATTGATGTTTGAAGAATGTAAATGTTTAATACAATTTTAAAAAGTTATCCTCTATATGTGTGTTCATTTATTGTCGCGGTGGTAACGACACGCTGTATGTATTATCGATTGCTTTTAATGTGAACCTTATTTCGAATACCTTATTACCTTGTGATTCAATCTGTCCTAAATGTTAAAAATGATTAAAATTACTGTTTTGCCTTGAAAAATATCTACTTTAGTACCTTGAAATATGCAAACTTCTTCTTTAGATGACTCCGTGGCGCAGTTGCCAAGTTATTGGCTTCGGCGTCGGGGGTCGTGGGTTCGATTCCCACACGGGACAACTATTTGTGTGACCCACAGATAGTTGTTTCGCATCTGGGTGTTTGTCCGCGTGAAATTTATGTTTGTAAAACGAAAACGTCCTTTACAACACAGGATAATATTATCCTAAAGTAAGGGCAGTGTTTTTTTAAAAATATAAAAAAAATATAAATATAAATATATATATATAAATGCAAAATGCTTGCATTATTTGTGGGTGTCAGGCATTTGTATGTTAAGCTAATAAGCATTTGGTCTCACTTTTTTATTATAAATTGATTAGATCGCATGATGTAGTAGTAATTCAACCGGAAGCGGTGAACGCATTAGCTTAATCAAAGCTAATCCTTGTTAAGGCGCACGCTATATTCGGAGAAATTGACAAAGTTTTGTTCGGTGGTAAGTGATCACCGCCGTGAGTTGTAGTTATGATCTCAACCAGGTTTTATGATTTTTCATTACTACTAGGGCTACTTTTACGTTTCAAACTCCCAACGAAGGATACTCCTACGTTGGTAACCAGTGCGAGGGCTACCCCTATGTTGCCTACCGGTGCGAAAGCCACCCTTACGTTGGCAACCGGTGCTAGGACTACTCTAGTTCCAGCTGACTGAAAGTGTGACCGCAGGCTGGAGCGCTTGCGCAGTGGCGAGTGCGAAGCCCTGCGGGAGCGCGCGCGGAAGGCGGAGCGCGAGGCGGAGGAGCTGCGCGGGCAGCTGCACAAAAGCCAGCGCGACCAGCAGGCGCTGGACCGCCGCCTGCACCACCTCACCGCCAAGTCAGTCCTCCGCCCGCCTTCCAGGCTCATTATCATCAGGCGAAGACGTCCACTGTTCTACAAAGGCCCTCCCCCTCCCCCCCTTGGAGCGCCACAAATTTGTTATTTACATCCACCATTGCCCGCGACTCAACTCAATGAAGTTACTATCTGGGACCGCCTCTATCCTCCAACTAGGTGGATCGACGACATTGTCCTAGTGGGAGGCGTTCCAATGCTACATCTTCCGGTTCTTTGTCACCGCTGAAGAACTTTTTTTCGCCATCGCTCATCATTTCTTTGAACGTGTGGCTTCTACCCCTCATTACTCACATACAACACATGGAACTGTCAACTACATACACGAGTAACGCACGAACCGGTCATTTGTGGACGCGATCTCGACGGAGCATAATCGTAAAACGTCTTCCCTAGCGAGAGAGGAAGATGGCTGGTTTACAGAAACCGTGACCCACGTCTCGATTCTAACCAACACATTCCTGATTTAAAATGTCTAGGACCAAAATTTACTGGAAATGAAAACACCTAAAATAATACAAAATTAAAATTTGTAGAAAAAAAAAGAGATTACTTTCCACTCAGACAATAGTCGTCTTCCGCAGTTTGGTTTGAACGTGTCCATGTTTAAACAGCAGATAACGTTACAATGAGATTTGAGTGAAGAACTTTTGAGTTTAAAGGCAAAAACTTACGTCTGAATCGCAAAGAAAAATTAAATGTATGGATGAGAAATCACAATCACGTTTCTCAGGCTGTCGACGCTGCAGGGCGAGCTGAACGAGGAGCGGGGCCTGGCGGCGGCGCTGGCCGGCAGCCAGGCGCAGTGGCAGGAGCAGGCGCGCCTCAAGGAGGAGGCCTTCCTCAAAGAGGTCGGTACCCTGGAGCACATCGCTTAGCATCGCTCGACTGTTCTTCTGCTAAGCGATGCCTTTATGTTTTTAACTAGCGTTGCTATTTTGTATTTAAAACTACATTGCCTGCCACTTCACTTACTTCTCCACGGCAAGAAAACATATCAATAAATATGTAGTGCTTATTAAAATTGTCGTTTTTTACTACTTTGATTATTTACATAAAATGGTATCACAATTTTTTTTTAACAAGTAAAATTTTTAACAAAAAAAAAGGACTTCCATCAGAAAATTAAAAAAACATTGTTAATACCTATAACATTTCAATGATGGCCCTCAATTTCTCTGGGATGCCATCATCAGGTCCGGGTTTCCTTACCATGGTACCATCCTTGGGATATCTCCTTTCTGACAAAAAAAGAATCACCAAAATCGGCTCATAAACGACGAAGTTATCCGTGAACACACATAAAAAAATATATATTCGGTCGAATTGAAAAACCTCCTTAATACTATTAGTATGGATATAGTATGGATTATCAGTCTTGTCACTCTCGCCAAATAAATGTTAATGTCGCGCCGTAATCCAATCGGCACCGGGCCAGGTGGCCGAGCTGAAGGAGCAGCTGCGCGACGTGATGTTCTTCGTGGAGGCGCGCGGGCGGCTGCAGAGGGCGGAGGGCGCCTCCCAGGAGGAGATCGCCGCGGCCAGCGTGAGCGTGGCGCCCGCCAAGCCGCGCCGCCGCCGCCGCTAGACGGTGCGAATGGTCCGGAATGTGCCGGCCTGTGCCGGCCTGTGCAAATACCACATCGCACAACCCTATTGAACCACATCCAATTGCTGGTTCATACCTTACCACCGACCTCTGTCGTACCGTAAAAGTGGGCGTATGCACCGGTTTGGCAAATGAAGAAATGAAAAATGTTCATGTCTTAAGCAAAATTCTTATACAATAAATCTTGATATCTCCTACGTAGCAGTTTAGTCACTTATAAACAACATGTCTATAGTGCTATTAGTGATGTCAAAGCGTGATTCCCACTACTGGGCAAAGCCCTATTACTAGTTGGCGGATGTCGCCTACGGTCGAATTAAGTGACCAAAGGACCTAGGCGACCTAGGTGGGTCTCATAATATTGACAAGGGGTTTTTTTTTACTTGGCACAAGATCTTGTTTGTGAACAAAAAGAGAATAAACAGTACTTACTCAATTAGTGTCTTCTGTAGTTATTAAAGATAAGGTTTAAGTCTAAACTTTTGATATTCCTCTGCACAATAAAAACAATTCTAAATGTCAAGCTGTCGGTAAAGTTTATGATTCTTTGTTAATTTATTCTCACAATTACAAGTTTATTTATCCATTCCTTATATTTTATAACATGGTCCTTCATGAGAATATGACTAATAAAAAATAATAAATGTATTTATCGTTTTTAAGTAAAGATAATAAATACAAACTTGTCAGTTCATATTTCGACCTACAGATTATTTTTTTCTATAGTTTTGGTGGCTCCTGTAAAATGAAAGATACTGTGATACTAATAGAGGGTTCAAAATATAAGCACTTGCATAAATTGTTCTTGTATGTGATAAATAAAGATTCAAGTATGTAATTTATAAAAGAGAGTATTTTATTCCCACTCTGACAAACACCATCCCCAAAATTAGATCAGTAGGTATTCGTGTAACATTATAAAAAGACAGATTATTTTTTTCAAACTGATCATTGTGGGAAACCGGCCAAGCGTAAGAAGCACTCGCGCACGAAGGGTTCCGTACCATTACCAATAAAAAAGGCAAAAAAGTCATGTCTGTGGTATGGGAGCCCCTCTTAAATAATTTGGAGATGATGTTAAGAGTTAACCGGCGCCCATTAACATTTGCAACACTCGTAGCGTTGCAGATGCATTGCCACCTTTTAATGTAGTGGGCTCTGGCTACCTCGCCAGACGAAACGCAGAAGTATTACACTTCAACTTCACGCCGGTCTTCTGTGAGGTCGTGGTACTTACCCGGACGGACCTGCCCACTTGTGAACACTGTTGCGCGGCCCTACAGAGTGAAAATTATAAATATTATTTTTATTTAGTATTTGTTATATTGGCAACAGAAATATATCATCTGTGACAATTTCAACTGTCCAACTTGATAGACAGTTAAAATTGTCACAGATGACAGTGATCGGTTCATGACATACAGACTGTTGACGGACGGACCAGACAGACACTACAGACAGCGTTTTATAGTCCATTTTGTATTAACTGCTTTATTGAAGTAAAATTGAGGATTTATTTCAAAAAAGTTTTGGTTTAAAATGAGAAAGGTTTTATGGATTTTTTGACTTATCAAAATGTATCATTACTCGATCATAGCCTTTATTTTTTATTTTTAAGTATTTGCCTCAAATATATTATAAGAAATTGATAGACAGACATAAAAAATCCGTAAAATTGGACATTGGTCTGTGGACTACGTTTAGGACCTGAGAACCGGCGAAAAAAAAACTCAGCTGGCAAAACAGTTTTATATCAATGTTTGTAGGCTTACTATACTCCGTGCGTTGTGGTTTGGTGCTTGGAAAGCTTGTAACGTTTTTATAGTGGGTGTCTAGATAATGATGGGAAGATTTAATAAAAGATTTATTCGCAGTTAAGATGTATTTATCTCTCCAATTTAAAGTTACAATCCCTGGACTAGCTCGGATACAATATATTTAAAAAAATATAACAACAATAATGAGTTGGGCGCCTTGTCTGTTAGGAACAGACTGTTGTAATAAATACAATTAAGTATCTCAGGGAGTCGCAAGTACATAGGACCTACACATTACTTTGTGCGACCATAAAAAGGTTAGATAATTAAATTAATATAAGATTATGAAAGTTATGCAATTCAATTTAAAAAATAAAGTCCAAGCAGGTAGTTATTTTAAATCTATGTCACCGTAGAGAAACCTGCCCTGTGTGCACAGGTCAGCGTTGAGCTCAGAACCAGTAGAGAAAGTCAGGCCAAGTGTAGTGTGTACAGCCACACTGTTGGGGGTATATAGGAGACCTCCAACTGGAGGTAAAAAACAATATTTAATTGAGCAGCAGCTCAGACCAGCTTGCAGGCAACCAATGCCTTCAGCATCCACCACGAGGGATAACAAATCCAGCAAAGAGTTTCCCAGACAGCAATCACAATTAATACGACCAGGAACGTGTTCTGATTTCAACCTCTAGCCATGCACAGTCGAAGATAATGGATCCACAAAAACTAATTTATCCAATGTCAATTCGAACCGGCGGCAATCTCAAATGACAAGTACGACCAAATGAAGTTAACTTTTTGATTCGACCTCTCGAAAAGGCAAAGGTTCTTATGACATGCAGCCTAGTCTTTAGAAAAACGACAATTTCGACAAAGCGATGAAATCACACGTTACAATATCCCCCAAGCACACAGAATTCACCTTGGTGAATTCACGGCTGTCCTAAGCCGTAAACTACTAAAACTGAAGAAAAACAGTAACTATCAAATATCAAAACAATACCAAGATTAAAAAAAAAACTACAAGTCTCAAGTCAAACTGAAAGTATCTGAACAACCCTTACAGCAACACTAACAGTCTCATCTAATAACTAAAGTAAAACATCCACCAGAAACAACTTTTAAGGAAAACCACAACATCAAAATAAAACTTATCTATCTAAAAGACATGTGCTCGAATGAGAAAACTTTCATTGAATAAATAATGTATAAGTGACTATTTTCTGGATTAGTCACTTCCTAGCTCTTCCTGCATAAATTACATACATCATAGAAATATAAATAAATCCCTAATATTCCACATAAATCCCACTATCGCAACCATCCCTATCAGACCATAGAAAGAAACAAGAGAAAAAGAAAAGAAAATGAAGAAAAGAGTCAGCAGTCATCATTAGTCTCACAAACACTACCTTCCAACGACAACCTTGCATAATTCCATCAACCACATAACCATGTTTACTGTTTATTGAAATAAATATTAAGTTATGTAAATTATAATAAATATATATTGATACTAAATATATGTGTAAACCATATTCATATTATTCACTCCCCAACTAGTGATTAATAACCCTAATCTGACTATACAGTTCGCCTTTACAATATAAGACTAACTGAAATCAATGTCTTTGAGTCACCCTTTTTACAATTATGACTGACTCATGACAATCCCCTATCACTAGTCAAGTACTGAGTGAAAAACAAATACATAAATAATATCTAATGTGAATGAGTTAGCATAGCTTTAGGATTATTTAAAGAGTTGCTAACCGCTCTGTAAAAAAAATGCTACTCGAATGTTTAAGACTACCAAAATTATGTAGGTTTTAAGGCTTATTTAACGAGTTACCTACCACCGCTCACTATTGTTCACTATGGCAATTATAAATAGATAATTATTATAATTTTACATATACAAATAATGTTGGTTATAATAAGATATAACTTCATAATAAATTTTTTTTTCACTCGAGACAGTCCCTCATTACCTATTTACAGTATTCCTAGCCTAATCCAAATTAATTCCATCTTTTCCATTTCCATTTCAGTAATCATTCCTTTGCATAACCTGCGCCTAGGACACAAACACAGCCTAACCTGTGGTCCGAGGGTTAGTCACCAAAATTAACTAATATTTCCTGCTAATTACATTTCCTTTTCAGTAATCAATCCATTGAATAACCTGCGCCTAGGACACAAACTAACACAGCCTAAACTGTGGTCCGAGGGTTAATCCTCAACAAGAAAAAAATAACTCAAATAAATTGTATTTAAAACAAGAGTTATAGCAACAGACCACCTAAATTGTCTCTCAAGTACAGCTACAAATTATTACATAATCAGGCTTACAAACAACTTCAACAACGGACATTTCCGCTCACAGCAGTCAAATTATCTGCCAAGAGCAGCCAATTCTGCCAACAGCAGCCAATTCTGCCAACAGCAGCCAATTCTACCAACAGCAGCCAATTATTCATAAATTAGCCCAAATTGGCCAACAGCAGCCAAATCTTCCACAAATCCAACCTATCAGCAACAGAAAATTAAAAACGCCCCACGTTGGGTGCCAATGTAACGTTTTTATAGTGGGTGTCTAGATAATGATGGGAAGATTTAATAAAAGATTTATTCGCAGTTAAGATGTATTTATCTCTCCAATTTAAAGTTACAATCCCTGGACTAGCTCGGATACAATATATTTAAAAAAATATAACAACAATAATGAGTTGGGCGCCTTGTCCGTTAGGAACAGACTGTTGTAATAAATACAATTAAGTATCTCAGGGATTTAATTGAGCAGCAGCTCAGACCAGCTTGCAGGCAACCAATGCCTTCAGCATCCACCACGAGGGATAACAAATCCAGCAAAGAGTTTCCCAGACAGCAATCACAATTAATACGACCAGGAACGTGTTCTGATTTCAACCTCTAGCCATGCACAGTCGAAGATAATGGATCCACAAAAACTAATTTATCCAATGTCAATTCGAACCGGCGGCAATCTCAAATGACAAGTACGACCAAATGAAGTTAACTTTTTGATTCGACCTCTCGAAAAGGCAAAGGTTCTTATGACATGCAGCCTAGTCTTTAGAAAAACGACAATTTCGACAAAGTGATGAAATCACACGTTACAAGCTGTCATTCAAATTACGCTTATCAAGTTCCGTAATTTGTGACAATAGAATGTATGTGCAATTTTGTACTAGAGAGCTAGGAGCGCACTGATAATGATGTTCCTTGGGTAGTCTGATCACAGTCGATTCGATAAATCAAATACATCCAGTAAATTATTTCTTTTTATATATAAAATTTGGACTATCGTACGTGGATACTATCCAATAATCAAACTTATAAAATCCAGTAACAGCTGTTCAATTTTTAGTTATATCAAACTCACGTTCAAATCGCACCAACGAAACTATAGCGCACCAGTGCCGGGTTAACCGCGTAGCAAGAGTAGCAATTGGTACGGGCCCCGCGCCAAAGGGGACCCGCATATTTAGACCCACTCATCTCTGCCTGAACATTAATTATTTGTGTGAATCTTATTAAATAAGAAAGAGTGTTGAATTGGTTTTTTGAACCCATAGCAGATCAAGGGCTATTTGAAAGAATTTGCTACAAGCCCCGCGCTTGCTAATCCAGCACTGCAGCGCACAGATTGTATAGTGTATGTGTAGTATGAGATTGGCAGCACTGTGTCTGTTATAGAATCTAATAGATAGCATAGACTTTTTATGGCATCCTAGTCTATTGTCTAGGGATAAGTAAGTAAAAAAAAAAATATATTTTAAAAACTATCGATAGTTATCGAGTGAAAAATATCGATTTATCGACAGTTTTCGCATAATTATTCACATGTGTTTATCTTTATTGATCTAATATTTACAAGATTAAATCTTTGTAAAATTACATATTATCTAATAAATCTAATCCACGCGGCATTGTGGCCTTCTTAAACCTTTGAGCGAGAAAAGAACCAGCTCTCTTGTCACCAGCCGCGGCTTTAGCCTAAATTATTTATATCGCGTTAAAAATATCGATATTTTTTGCTCATGCCTAATTGCCTACTATAGTCTGTAGTACTGGTGTAGCGGATTAATGTCAGGAAACAGCTTACCCTAGATAGAATTATTTTGTGCCCTTTTTGCAAATTCTTCATTTTTAAATAGTTATTTATTAAATATAATGTGTATGTGTTAAATTTGACTATTTTAGACTTGAAACCATTCCAGACTTATTTAGGTAAGCTACGAAACCGTGAACCGTTAAGAAAGCAATGCGGTCAATTTCTTATACTTCAAAGCTTGTATATCGATATAGAAGCGAAACGTGCATTGAGTTAATTAATTGACTGTATTGCAAAAATTGATTAGTTCTCTTGCAGAATCCAGCACACCAAAGGAGCACATCTCTCGTCACTACTCTTTAGAAAAATGGTTTTGCAACAGACTCCACTCTGTTTTATTTTCAGAGTGGGTCTCTAGCAATACCGTTTCGTCTTCGCGCTGTTCTTCTTACTTGGTGGCTTTAGAAATCGTGAAAGTCTGCACCGGGCGATGGTAAAAATCCAATTGTTATTGTACATTGGATTTTTAATGCTATCGCTGCTTGCGGACGATCTTTCAACTGCTTGTCTCGTTTAGCTATTGACAGCACAAGGTAATCCAGCAGAAGTATGTCAGTAATTAGTACACTTGAAAACTGTCTAATGCACCTTAGAAGAACAAGATACTTTGAAGAATATTCTGTATTGTGTTAGAATAATACCATAACAAATTATTAAGATTAAGGGTTTTCTTTTTTGTTGATTTAAATGTAATATTCTTAATATAAATAATGATATTTATTTAAATGGGTTCATTGTATTTTACCACTGAAACTAACAATGGTATGGGAAAATAAGTTCTGGCCTACTAAAACAACTAATCCTGGGGGCTGTTAAGGGATATTAGTACACTAACTCCTATTATTAAAAGGTTTTATATCACTATGTAATGCACCTCTTGAATTTTGCGCAATCAGAAGGCAGAACTAATTAAAAGGTGGTGGATAATACATATATAACAGCTTGTGATGTTAATTTTTTATGTATAAGATTAATAAACATTATTCACAATTCATATTCTATCATCAATCTTTTATTTCTTGATAAATTTGTGTTGCAACTGTGTATTTTAAGTTTATTAGTTATATTAATTCATCACAGTATCTTTAAATTGGAAAATTATAGAAAATAATAAATGTGTGTTTATGCAAATCACTTGTATGTACACTTTGTATGGTCTGCGGTGTTTTTGGGCAATAGTTGATATAAAGGAGGCTGTAACATTCAATAAACTGTCTTACCATTATCATATAAACATACATAAATGATCATATGTTTTATAAAAACATTATATAATTTAGAAGATAGCGATTAAAATTGAACAATAAGGACATATGAGGTTGAAACCTGGAAAGTATTCAATTTTATCAATTATCGATTAGTAAGTTGAAAACTCTACTAAAGAAAAATTTTAATTCTATTCGGTAGTTTTTTACTTCCTTGTTAGTAATTTGATAAGTCTGTCCATGCATAGAAGAAGTTGATTTTTTTACAATATAAATTATCACAATATAAATTGTGATAATTGTCTGAAATTTCTGTCTGGAAGAAAGGTCATGGGTAGGAGGAAAGCTCACCACTGTTGGCTCGTAGAAGCAGTTCTGTAGTTCGTAGTAGCAGAGTGCACACTTCAGGTAGTTTCAAATTTGTGCCACAAGACTTAATGTAACATCTAGTACAACCCACAAAGTAAGACAAACAAAAATTCTCTGCTAGACCGTTGTATTACTTTAATACTTAATTTACTTGTGTTTTTATTCCATTGCTTTCATTTTGTAAAAATCTTGCTAACTCTTAAAACAGTAACATTATTATTTCAAAACAATTAACTTATATAAATTTTGACATTATTCCATCATTGAGACTTCATGTCTGTATTATAAACACAAAAAAAGTGATTGTGTGTGTGTGCTGCATTTTGGAGGGATATTTTTTTCTTTTGCTTCTGTCATGTTCCAATATGTGTAATCTTAAATGTGGGTACTTTTTACTTTGTTGTCAAATAAAGTTAAATAAGTGGAGGTAGGAGTAGAAGCGACGGACAACGTATTGTGTCAAGCTACCTAGCTAATTACATTATAGTACATACTTAACGTCTTTTATTATTATTCTGGACATAATAGCTTCACATTTTAAAACAATAATCATAATAGTATGTGTCATCCTGTGTCAACCAGTATTAAACTGAAAATTTGGTTATTTTGTATACCTAACATCTGAAATATTTGTTATTTTAATTATATATATGTTTTAATATGTTGCATCTAACAAATAAAATAATCGTTAAATCTTTTTTGTTGCTTACAGCTTGCCGAGGGTGTTGGAAACCTTTTCTATTTATGTTGATTATTATTATCTTAATAGTTTAATTTCACACTAACTACTTATTGCATTTAAAGATGTTTGATGAAAAGATTAACTTGTTACTATAACTGACTGACTAACTGTTTTATAATCTGTGAAAAATTAAATATGATACTACAATGCTTACGGTGGTAGGGCCACGCAGCAGCCTCGGCTGTTTTATGAATGGGCAGGTCTGTCCGGGTAAGTACCACAACCTCACAGACGACCAGAGTAAAGTGGAAGTATGACAACTTGATACTTTCGCGTTTTGTCTGGTGAGTGAGGTAGCCGGAGTCCAATTTTCAAAAGGTTGTCAACGCATCTGTAACTCTCGAGTGTGGAAGATGTCCATGGGCGGCGGTATTCACTTACCATCAGGTGAACCTTCTGCTTGTTGGGCAACTTTTCACATAAAAAAAAAGAAAAAAAGAAAGAACTAAAACCACCAAAACTTATCATCAAATCATAATTGCACCTAAACAAATGTCAGCTTTAGTTGGTAAATCTCCAAGGTGCTGCAAGATTTTTTTTCTATCAGTTGTCAATCTATCAATTTAATATCTCTATTTACTATTTCTCAAAGATATTCATTTTTTGGAACTCCATAACTTAAATAATTCTTTTTTGAATCGAATGATTCATACACCATTTTAAAGCTTATCGCCCGGTTTCTGAAACACTTATCAACACAGAAAGTAACTAAACAGCTGTCAAATGGCTTCTCAAATGTCATTTTAGTTGCCAAAAGGATGGTTGAACTCTTTGAATTGATCATTCTGATCATTAAAAAAATCATTCTAATCAATTCAGAGAGTTTGACCATCCTTTAGGCAACTCAAATGACATTTGAAAAGCCATGTGACAGCTGATTAGCTGACTTCTATGATGATAAGTGTTTCAGAAGTCACTATTAACTGAAAACTATCAAAAGATAATGAAATGTGTTCATGTTAACATGTGTTATATGCATTTTCGCTGAAAATCATTCATAGACAGTGTGTTTAATTTAAACTTTAAATTAGTTTTTTTTAATCACATTTTTTTTTATTTAGTTTTAAAACATTGTATTCTTTTCAAATGTTTCTTGTGAACGGTTCCTTTTGTGTTTGTATCCTTCCGATATCAGCTGAGACTATTTTTAGGTAGGTAAAATGGACCACGATGGGGGGGACACGGAACAGCCTCTGGCTAAACGGCAGAAGTTCGACGAGGACATTCAAACGTTCAAGAGTGAGCCCGAAGTGGACTTCTCTCAGGACAACTTGGACTTCGATGGGAAGTTTATGCCCGAAGACAAGTACTCGAACTTTGTGACGCCGGAGGATTTGGAGAGGCTGAGGGAATTTAAAGTGCTGGACGAAGTTAAGTCCAACGACGAAGACAGCAATGACGACGAATCGGAAAGTTCCGACGGTAGCTATGCAAATTTTTTATTGTTAAGTGCTGAACCTTGACCATTTCCATGCCTTGTATATGTTACACTGTACTAAATAGATTTATTGGGAGATGGAAGCTAGCAATTGGCTAGAAAGGTGTCTGAATGTACTTTTGGCAAATTTATATTTGCCAAAAGTAAATACCTTACAATGAATATGGATTTCTATAAGTCACAAATTTATCAGTTGTCTACGAAGCGGTCCATTATTTTAATTAAATTTATTGAATACTCGCTCATAGTTCACTCCGAAAATTTTGAAAAATATTGAAGGCATATGTTTTGTTTGTCATAAATAACACAATTGTAAAACTAACGGTAGCAACGGTCACTTGCCATTTGTAGGTAAATCGGAAGGGCTACCAGACGAAGAAATAGAAAAGATGCTCGAGGAAGGTCTGCCCGAGGACTTCAAGGGCGCGCCCAAACCGAAAGAGAAACCATACGTTACCAGACAGAAGACGGTGCTGGAAGGTATGTAGAGAATACTCATTCTTGTCGCTTCATACATTTGTTTCATGTGATTTCAGAATTATTGTCTAACTTCAATGTGGTACCACGCAACATTCTTCGCTGTTGCACGAATAGGCAGGTCCGTCCGAGTAAGTACCTTGACCTCACAGAAGACCGTGAGGAGGAAGTGTTATCGTTTTGCGTTTCATGCGAGGCAATTCTGACGTATGAGGAAGCCGGGTAGATACGTTGTAGATACGTTAGATACGGAGATACGTTGTAGATACGTAGATACGTTTTAGATACGTAGATACTCGTTGTTAAAGGTGGCAACGTATCTACAACCCTAAAGGTGCTGCTAATATCAATTTGTGTATCAACTGATCGCTTGCCACCTGAAAAATTTAAGATCCGATGTCTGAAATGTGCCTTGTTAACGTCGCAGAGAAGGGCGTGAACCACTTCGAGGTGCTGCCCCTGGACTGGATGATGGTGCGTCACTACAGCGGGATGCCTGTGTACATGCACCGCACCACCCGCGTCTGCACTCTCTCCAAGCCCTACTTCCTCGGCAAAGGGAACACCAGGGTAACCGGTCTCGTCAGACGTTTCTTGGCTCCGGCTCCTCGCTTGCTGCTATTATTTTTTATTTCTTTATTTCTGATAACCGCTTATGGACACTCGAAACTGCCTGTTAATCATAAACGAAATATGTTTCAGAGGCACGATATACCAATTAGTGCAATACCCTGCCTCGCGTACAGACGGGCTTTGGAGGAGGAGGAAAAGCAAAGAGAGATCGATCAAAGGATCGAGGAGCAAATAAGAAACGGGACGTGGGCTAATAACGCCGGCCAAACGAACCCAGCCACCAACGTGGAGGCGAGCAATCAAAGTGCGAACTCCAGTATTAAGGAGGGCGACAGTCAAAATATAGATACGAACAACATTAAAATAGAAAACGTCGACAGCAATGACGTCGAGGAAAATAACATACGAGCGATCGAAGTAGAAATAAGTTGCGTTAAAGTCAATGACGACGATAGTAATGGACTAGGGAACGGCGACGAGAGGAACGATGAGAACAGCCAATGTTCGTCATCTGATACGAAGTCTGATAATCAAGTTAAGTGCCCCTTCAGGCAAGATCCGGCCGAGGAGTCTACTAATGGTGACCAGGTCGCTGAAGGTCAGGTGGACGAGGAAATACCGTTGAGCAGGCAGCCGGTCGTGCTCCCCGGGGGCATAGTGATGCCCCCTCCCCGCGTGGAGTCGGTGAACACCAGTTGGAAGACTCAGCATTTGTCCCCGGAGCAAATAAACGACTACTGCAAGAGGCTGTTCAAATTCAAAACCGTCAACATAATGCATTTTAAGTAAGTGGACTTGATGATTCGATTTTGATGCCTCTCTGTCACTTTGGCCAAATATATACTCGTCTAATCTGAATAAAGACTTTTTGTCAGTTTCACGTCTATAGTTTGATACTAAGACCTTATTGCTTTTGTGATGGGATCCAGAAAGATTTCTTTGCCTCTGTTTAGTACCGCTCAGTTGAAACTGTGTCTGAAATCAACTTCCAAACGTATACTTGTGTTTTTAAACGGGGCTTTTTAAAGCAAGGCTTTTTTGGCCCCTAAAATAATTAATTGGGAGAATTGGGTTTCAAGTTTTGGAGATACCCTCTTTGTTCTACACAGCCCGCTCCGTTTTTTCATTCTTAATCTACGATCCACATCTCAAGGGTTTCTCCAGAATACCTTCTGTTGGTCACTCCTTTGGGGTCAGCAATATGCTAAGCAGGTGACCCTCAACAATCAGCATTGATCAGATCATTTATTTTTTGCTATTTTCTTCATTTTGATTTTTCTTCAGTTTTTTTTATCGTTTTTTTTTTAATTTTGGCTGTTGGGGTTGTTTTTCTGTTAATATTTAATGTAATCATGTTTGTACAAAGTACTGGAGGTAAAGGTAAAATGTGAAAAAACAATATGACAGGAAAATTTGTTTACTAGTATTTACTAGTCCGAATTTGAATTTATTTTTCCGAGGTCTCTATTGCCCCCCTTTTGTGGAGGCCCCGGTTACCCTCCCCTAAATCCGGCCCTGTCTATCTTGTTCTAACGAAGGAGAAAGGGTTCCTTGTCTCGGCTTTTTAGTCAACACTGTATCTTCGATTTTAAAGGTAGTTTTGATTGTTAATTGATGATTGGGTCTTAAGGTGGACTGGATTAGTTAACCGCGTCTTTGCTTTTGGGGCCTCTGCTTTTATAGACTGTGAATGAATGACTATGACACTGTGGTATACATTTGTAAGTTACGGTCGCCTTTGTGTTAATGGAAGTTACGCTCTCGGTCCGTATACTATTTGAAACTTCATCTAATACCGATCCTAGAAACAGCTGGTTTCCGCGAGTTCAATGAATTCTAAGCTGATGCGTATGGAGACATACATGCACTGTGCTTCATAACTACGGACCGTATTATGAATGTAGCTGGGAGCTGAAATAAAACACAGTATATATAGTCTGCGAATTATATTTTTTCCTTAGCGCTACGCGTGTGTACTGTCAAACGGGTGGTTGATTGGATGGAGCGGATTGTTTTCTCATCTGGCATTGGATGTTTTACCCCGTACGAGTGTCTTTAGGTCTTTTTTTTTACATTGCCCTTACTGTAGTACCTAAAATTATCCTGTGCTGTAAGGACGCTGGACAAGTATTACACATACATTTCACGCGGACGTACTTCCAGATATGAAATTATCTGCGGGTCACACGAATAGTCGTTCCGTGTGGGTATCGAAACCACGACCCCCGGCGCCGGAGTCAACTTGTCACCTGTCGCAGTCATCGACCATATCTCATAAGAGGCGGAAACTGCAAACGAACATATCGACACTGTTTCTATGTAAGAAGCAAGCAAGCAAGCTGGCGGTTCACCTGATGTTAAGTGATAGCCGCCCATGGACATCTGCTACGCCCGAGGGTTGCAGATGCGTTGACAACCTTTTGGGAATTGGGCTCCGGCCACCTCCCTCACCAGGCGAAACGCAGAAGTACGAGACTACCACTTGACGCCGGTCTTCTGTGAGGTCGCGGTACTTTACCGGACGAACTTGCCCATTCGTACGTATTACATACCGTATACACCGTTTAAAACAATTAACGGTGTTTAACCATCTTTCTGACGGCCAAAATTCCACAGGGGAGCGTATATTAGCCCTTTCCTTTCGTAAATTAAAGTTATCTTTAATAACAATAAAAGAAAGACCTGCTCATCAGTGCAACAGGGATTTCGTTTACGTTAGTATCCGGCCGACGGGTTCACTCAAGTTGGCTTCTGTACTTTGTAGTCGATGGGCCGATCGGCGCAAATACACGAAAGCGAGGAAGACACTCCAGTACCCGACCCTGCCCGAGGGCACGAAGCTCATCACGATACCGGCCCAAATCCACGCCGGTCAGGAGAACGGTATGGAAATTGTGCCATCGAGAATTTTAAATGTGCAATAATGTAAATATTTTTAGGACACATTTTTACGCAGTGCTGTAGTCCCTAACTAAGCAACGCTAGCACTACAGGTACTAGATAACTGATAAACACACTTAAACATACTTTCCTTTTGTAAATAAATACATGTTATACGTATATAAAAACACAGACAGTAGAAAAACACTTATGTTCATCACACAATATTTCTCCAGTAGTGGGGATCGAACCCATACCCTCTGGCGCAGCAGGCAGGTACACTATCCACGCCATACGGGTCGTCATGTAATAATTTTTTTTCAATTCAAAACTGATCAGCACTTGACTGCCATCCCACCCGATGGTAAGTGGTGACGCAGCCGTTGATGGTAAGCACGCTAGCTCAGTAAAAACCTGTTCACTGTTCCCTCGAAGACGCTATTATCTCGCTTAAGACGAAATATGTTTGTCTTTGTAATAAATTATTTTCATTAACGATTTTCACATTAGAGACACAATTGAATTCGCGTGAGAAGTGAAGAAACTAAAAGGGACGATACAGGATGATCGTTTTTCGGCCAGGGCGTTTTCCAAACGTAAATATCACGTGGCTAAACAATTATCATGTCACAAACATTTTCCCACACGGAAAAACTATTTGTATGTGGGTCCCACAGATAGTTTTTCCGTGCGGGGATCGAACCCACGACCGCCGGTGCCGAAGCTAATAGTGCTAGAGTGCCCTGGCGACTGCGGAGTCGAGTCATCTGGGAGTTCGCGTTTGTTGTGACAGGCTCCAAGAGCACGAAGAAGGACTGGGTGATGAACATGAACGGCCGTTGCTACCTCTCGGTCTTCCACGAGTACGTGTACAGGGCGCTGCAGAAGCAGCCGGTCTACGAGTTCAAGCAGCTGGGTGAGTGCACAAGTAGCCGGGTGTTTCGCACACCGCGAGTGAGCGAGACGCGTACGACGATAGAGAGGGATGGAGTGTTCGCGTTTCGAAATTCGTGCATAGGTGTGATGTGATTCAATATGTGGCTGTACTAGTGTACCGTGTCGTTTCTGACTACTCGATTTTGTTAACATTTTTTGTTTACAATCAAGTTTTAGTTCACCGGCCTTAAGGCAGTGACGTCGAAAAACCCCGACATTCTAAACTGTGAATATATCCGCTTTAAGAATGTTGTCTGGTTTAACAATTCCATGAAATATTTACAACGTTCCACGTTTTCAACTACATACGGAGATATGGAATGAGTATAATTGTAATCGAACAGAGCCGAGGGTGTCTCTTCGAGGGAGATTGTTCCTATGTTGAAGCGTGGTACGGTTTTTTTAATGTGAGGTGGCCCATTGACATTTGTAACACGCGCAAGGTTGCAAATGCGTAGCAACGAAACGCAGAAGCACAACATTTACACTTCACGGCGCTGTTCCGTTCCTGCCCGTCCATACAACACTAAAGTAGTTTTTTCTTTTGTGAAAAGTTGCCAAGCGAGCGGACGGCTCACCCGATATTAAGTGGATACCGCCGCTCATGGACATCCGATATACCCGAGGGTTGCAGATGCGTTGACAGCCTTTTGAAAATCGGGCTCCGGCCACCTCACTCAGCAGACGAAACGCGAAAGTGTTACACTTCTGCGCGGTCGCGGTGCTCCCCCGGACGGGCTGCCCATTCGTGCAACAACGAATGCTGTTGCGCGGCCCTACCACCGTGTGCATGAGCCTACCACGGCGCTGTTGGCAGAGAACGCCACCACGCCGTACCAGGCGACGGTGTTCATCGGCGGCATGCAGTACGGCGTCGGCTACGGCTCCAGCAAGCGGCAGGCGAAGTCGGCCGCCGCCCGCGCCTCCATCCACATCCTCATCCCCGAGATGCGGGACCAGCTCGAGCCGCAGCCCTCCACCGGCGAGCCGGATTTCTCGGTGAGAACGCACACACAAACACACACACACACACACATTCAAATCTTCATCACGTATACACGACGTTATCGAATCTGAGCGAAGTTTGCACTATGGATACTGGATAACTGATAAACAGACTTGAACGTACTATTCTTTTGTAAATAATATATTATAGATATGTAATAGTCAGACACTAGAAAAATACTATGTTTAGCGCTAAATATTTTTCCCGTAGTCGTGATATAGAAGCCACACCCTCTATCGTAAGATAGACGTCCACTATCCACTGTGTTGTTCGTCACCTTACAAATTGGCAAATTGCGTTAGTGTCTTTGACGTTGGCCAATTCTCTAATTTGACTTATACGAGTTTTATGAGCACCGTTTTCAGTGTTCATGGTCACGGGACAGACTGAGGCGTGGGACGTCTGAATCTCATAGTTAACCCATCCAGCCGTCAGTTTTTTAATCATTAACTTTATGTCCGATCTATGCAGCAGGTGCGTCTAAATAAATAGCATAGATCAGACGCAAAATGACGTCCTGAAACGATGGGAATAGTCACATTAAGCGATGTGTAATCGCGTTAATACAAATATTTCGTACAATATTTGAAACGATACTAACGAATGTTTTTTTTTATTTTTCTTTATGTGATGAATTGGCAAACGAGCTGGTGGTTCACCTGATGTTAAATGATAACCGCCTGCCCATGGACATTTGCAACACTCGTAGTGTTGCAGATGCGTTGGCACCTCTCAATAATGTGCGCCCCGGCTAGCTCACTCAGCAGACGAAACGCAGGAGTGCAACACTTGTACTTTACGCCGGTTTTAACCCGCTTCGTCCCTACGGCCAGTTCTTCGACTACGTGAGCATCGAGGACCCGCGCATCTCGGAGTTCTGCGCGGCCACGTGCGAGCCCTCGCCGCACGCCATCCTGCGCACCTGCCTGCTGCGCAACTTCGGCGCCGGCGACCGGCACATACACACCGAGGTGGGCTGCACGCACACGCGCACGCGCACGCACACGCACACGCGCACACGCACACGCACACGCACACGCACACGCACACGCACACGCACACGCACACGCACACGCACGCAGACTAGGGCTGCCGACAGAATATATCGAGGGCTAACACGAAACACAACGCACACGTGCACATGAACGCACACAAATGCAACTCCTCCCTTTGCTCTCTTGTATATGCATTATACAGCCGTCTCCAAAAGAAGCGCCGCCTCCAGGGTCGATCCTCTCCATTCTTACACTAACTGGTGTCAACTTGCACTATGTTTTTCTATCTAGTGTAAAGTAACAGCCTATAAATGCCCCACTGACGGACAAAGCTCTCTTCTGTAATGACGTTATTAGGGTAATACACTGCGGAATTTTACGTGTCTTCGAAAAATATTTTTTTCTTTTTTTTTTTTGTTTTCGGGACGATTATGTGTGACCCACAGATAGACTCCGCATCTAAGTGTTTCTTCCCGAGGTGTATTGGCGCACTTAAACATACTGTTTATAATTAATCTATTTATACTACCGAATTGCGCTAGTACTTATTAAAGTATAGTTTATGTAAACAAACGACTGTTGAGCTATACCCTAAAATATTAGATCTGATTCTATTATAGTGGAATTTCAAAGCTTATGTGAGAATTGTATTTTTGTATCTCATTCAATAGGCTCTCAAGCTACAAAGCCTTAATTTCAATTTACAGATGAAGAAGCTCGAATACCAGAAGATTGAGTTGACAATGAAGGTGGGCAAGCACAGCGCCACAGTCGTCTGCAAGAACAAGAAGACTGCGAAGCAACGCGCTTCGCAGGCCATACTGCAGGTAATTTTTTTAGGGCCTTTACTGTGGGATAACATTGATGACTCGGTGGCGGTTGTCGTGGGTTCGATTCCTACAGTGTCTGTGTGATCGATGCATAATTGTTCCGGATTTGGATGTCCTGAGGAGGGTTGACGTCAGGTAGGCGGCCGGTCGGTTTTTTTTTATGCGACAAAGTGGCAAACGAGCCTTTACCTGATGTTAAGTGATAACCGCCGCCCATCGACAAAGATGATGTTATTGAAAACGCAGGACAATAGTAGATCCACCTCGGCGGCATGAGCGTATAGTTCGAATGCGTCGTGCGGCAGGCGCTGCACCCGCACGTGCGCTCGTGGGGCTCGCTGCTGCGGCTGTACGGCTCGCGCTCGGTGAAGAGCTGCAAGGAGAAGAAGCTGGAGGAGCAGCAGATCACGCTGCTGCAGGACAAGGCGCGCCAGAACGAGCCCAACTACGCGGTGCTGGAGAAGCTGCGCCACGAGATGCGCAAGCTGCGCGAGCGCGACGCGGCGGTGGTGCCCATCGGCACGCTGCTGCTGCCGGCCGCGCCGCCGCCCTCCGCCGCGCTGCTGGGCGGCGTGCGTCTGTGACGGGCCCGCCCTCGCCGGACCTTGCGGGACCTGCCTATACTGATACATGTAGCTAGAACCTAGCTAGCCTGCTCCATTACCGCCTGGGACTATTGTGAGAACTTCCACCCGACCGCTTCCACACCCGGTGATGGTTGCTACGGGACTTTCCTCCCGCCCCTTTCACAATTGACGGCTATCCCCAGACCTTCGGGCATACATGTAATTAGAACCTGGCTAGCCCATTCCGTTACCGCTTCAGACTGTGCCTGGACCTTCCACCCGACCGCTTCCACACTTGATGGTCTCTGCACTAGACAAGAGGGATACATTTGTAATTAGAACCCACCTAAACGTTGCCACTGACTAAAGAGACTAAAGGGATGAGTCGCCGTGCTCGGTAAGAATTATTGCTTAATCCGTTCCATACAAATAAATTCTTAATAGCCCACTCCTGGATCTTGCATCCTTATCGTGCAATCCTCCATCGTCGTTACTCCATTTACCACTAATATATTTGGTTTCACTCAAATAACGTGACCATTTCTAATTAGAAACTACCTAAATGTGCCCCTCGCCAAAATTTTGCATCCTAATTGTCAAATATTCCATCTATATGACTCCACTTGAATTTTACGATTTGTGCGGAAGGGGTTTGGGTTGTCAGTCCCAAGAACCACGGCAACCTAGATTTATTCAGAAGTCCATGACCCCACCTTCCGATGACAATTAATTTCTTTGTTGTCACTCAACCAACCTGCACTTAATCACTTACCCGACTAGTACATGTAATCTTGAAACTCCTCTCCAGTCGTTGTATTTTCAAAAGGTTGCCACAATGTCTTAGATAATTTAATTACAAGCAGTGATGATATAAGGGATGGTGTAATCACCAGATCAGTGAGTCTATTCAATTGTAAGTGAAATTGTACAAGTGAATAGGGCTGCAAGACCTAGTGTAGGATATAGAGATTAGTAACTCATATGTGATTTTAGCGGAAAAATGTCCCCAAAAATTTATGCAATAATGGTCCAAGAAGCGACCAGAACAACGCTATTATTAGCATACGAGAGAGACCTGTATTGCCTTGTTTGAAATGTAGAATTTAATTTACTCTAACACCAACTTATTGTAGTCTATTATAAGGACACTTTATACCTTTACATCATACTCCTTATAATCAACACCACATGCTGGTTGAAACATTCAATAGATATTTTAATCAATATTCTTACTAGCAAATTACATAGCTTTACATTTTTATCCTTAAAACATTTTTAAAAATATTATTGACTATTAAATGTTAATTCAATTGAGTGAGATTGGCCTACAAACAAAACAATAGAAATTCTGCCTTTATGACAGAACACTGTCATGAGAAAAATGGAAGTTTGAAAAACTCGTGACTTAGAAAAATATTCACTAAATAATCTTAAAGTATCATGAAGTATCGTAATGTATTACACATTAATATAAAGGTACTGCAGACTAATAAACTATTGTTATATTTGCTTAAGATTATATTAACATTTATTTACTATATATTCAGCTAAATTGACTGAAGTGATTGAATATTTATAATTGTCCATTGATTGTTTTTGAATGGCGTTCAATTGGTTTAATTTACAATTAATTTTGTTTCAAATACTATATTTAATAAGGTATGTGAAAACTTTGAACTAAACTCGTGTAAAATATGAAAATGAATTTCACCACAAATATGTTCAGGCATAATTAATTCAATTTAATCAAGTTTAAAAAGTTATTTACACACAAACACTGGGTGATTTAGTTTTTGACAAACGGATACATATCGACGAAAGTTTAAAAGTCTTAAGATGAGCTGTTATAATCATTCGGCATTTAGGATATTGGACCAATATTTGTTCACATCGAGGCTAATAATGAAAATAATGAAAGTGATTAAACACTGCTATGCAATGTCTCAAATGTTTTCCAATCCGTTTTATTTTTAAGTATAAGTGACATTAAACTTCGAAAATCAAATTTAAATTATATTTACTGACATATTATTGCTTGTGATTGAAATCGTATAAGGGTCTTAGTATATAAGGGTCTTAGTATTGTAGTATTGTAGTCGTTTCCTAAGGCGAGACATGATGAGCTTAGTAACAACATTGCCAACTTGTCACAACTGACAACAGACATCAGGTGTTCGGTAAACATTTAACATCTAATGTCTGTTTCAAACGGTGCCAGAATTGTTTAATCCTAGGTTTTAAGAGATATCGGTGGATATTTTATGCAGCCTGTTTATGTGTCGTGTTATATAATTGTATTTGTCATTACGGTATTAAGATTTTCTATTGTTTGCCAACGCTTCGGGCCATTTGTGTGAATCGATTGAACTTAGTAAAACAGAAGTGTGTACGGCTTTTAGATTACTTGTGATTTATATGAAAAATTCAAATCGTTTAGGTTTAATTCTTGTATCGGTATGTTTTATAGTATCAATAAATGTTGCTTAAGTTAGTTTTGTTGTTTTTTTATGTGAATAGTTGCCAAACGAGCAGATGTTTCATGAATGAATGATGTTAAGTGAATACCCGCCACCCATGGACATCTGCCACATCCGAGGGTTACAGATGTTTGACGTTGACAACCTTTTGAAAATTGGCTCCGGCTACCTCACTCACCAGACGAAACGCGAAAGTATTTGTCATACTTCCAAATTACGCTGGTCTTCTGTGAGGTCGTGGTACTTACCCGGACGGGCCTGCCCATTCGTGCAACAGCCGAGGCTGCTGCGTGGCAACAAAATCTATTTTTCATCCCCCTAATTGTTAAGCGTTGTCCACCCCAAACATTTTTTTCTACCCTACATATAATTTAAACGTTGTTTTGTCCGATTCTCCACCCTGGCCGATATGCACACAAAATTTCATGAAAATCGGTCGAGCCGTTTCGGAGGAGTTCAATTACAAACACCGTGACACGAGACTGATATATTAGATTCCTTGTTGTGATTTAATACTCTATTTTAATTTTAAAATAAATGTGAATTAAACGTTGGTATCTTTGATTAATATACACCGAGGTATTTTTATAAAAGTAATAATTATAATATAAAAATATAAATTTTATTTGCAAATGTAAACACATTTATTCTCAATCCATACACAAAAATTATTGTTAAATTTACAGATACAAATAAATAATTAATCTAAAATTAAAAACTAAGTAGCTAAATCTACACATTAACAGTATTTATTTATTTATTTAATAAGGAAGATTCCAGACATTATAAAACTACAATAATAGAAAGGCAACAATAAAGCTATAACTAAATCCACATGACCACAATAGACTATTAGTCCTTTTTCAAAAAAGGGAGGAAAACAATGTCTATTGTATGAAAACTAAATAAAATATCAGATTTTTCTGTGAATTATGAATAATTTACTATTGTGAAGTATTGCCATCTTTGTTAAACTAATTAATAAAACTACTAATAAAGATATAAAAAAATATAGGTTTACAACAATAATGTCTACCTTTTAACTTATTTTGGTACAACAGGAAACTGTACTGTAAGAAAATCTGAAGTTATATCAATTTTATTATAGACTATAAATTATTGTCACAGCTTTACAATTGAAAAGTTTTTGTGGACATGTGTACAACTCTGAAGTTTCATCGCAAATGATACTCGTATGGGAAGCAAAGTTATGTATATTACTTTGTATGATCCCATACATACCTTGTATGGGATATCTACTCGTAGGAGACACATTCATTACGTAGAATGTGTACCGGTGGTCATAGTGAAAAAGAAGTAAGGAAAAAAACTGTTTATCAACGTCACAAATGGTTTTAGGTCCACGACATATTAATCAAACGTCTACGACAACTGCTCTACACAATACAATCTACTATTGTCGAACAATTTGATAGTCACTGGCGACTTTAATTAGTCCGAACTGTCGTTTTACAATCTTGTTTGTGTCCGACGACAAACGTTCCCTTTTCTGCTGGTCTGTCGGAACGTCTGCCAGCGAGCAATAAACTAACGTCAAAGTCATTCATGCGCGCGGAGTAATAAAACGTGAGGCGACCATGGTGCGTTACTTAGCCCGTTAGATGCATATGTGCGACAGAGAGCGCAATAGACGTCTTGCTTACACGTTTCATTACACCGCGGGCAGTGTCTGAGATTAGTATAGTGTGGTAATGTCGGCTACATAACTAATTGTAGTATCCGAAAAACTCGGGCAGCGGTTGCGCTTGCGGCCAAGGGCGAGCGCTGTGCCGCGACTCGCTTCCCGTCAGCGCGTTGGAGTCACCAGCACCGCTCGCCGCTCCGCCTGTCTGTGAACGTACGAACATTTTACTTTTCAGTGACAGCAACACGGAAAATGGCGACTGTATTAAGCGGCGTAAAAAAGTATAGTATTCACACGAACTGGGATCAGAAAGCTTTAAGGTGATACGATTTTCAGAGTAAGAGCGGCTCGTTAGGTGACCTTCGCTGCGTCACTGGCAACTGTTCACGAAATGACGGAGTCTATATTGCAATTAAAAAGAAAAATCACTTATGAATTAATCAACAAGCAGAATCCCCTCGCATAGCCCTCAACACTCATGTTAAGATGTTCACCATCGTGTTATTGGTTGCAACTTGCACGTCCAACGAGCTGGTGGTTTAGCCGATGTCAAGTAATTATCACTGCCGAGGGATCTGTAAGGGCCTCTTAGGGCTAACAGCGAACGATCAAATAAAAAAAAAAATAAAAAAGATTAAAAAAACCCCTATGGGTCTATTTGTACAACAGGACGGCTGCTGCAATCAATTGTGCGTGTTCGAATATCGAGTCCAGTGCGCTTTCATCACCCACCAACGTGCGTTTAACAGAGTGGATTTCATTTGACGGGGGACAAGCGTTACTAGCAAGGTTTACTGACGAGCCATCGCCGCTTGATGAAGTCCGCGGCCCGCTCGCCCACCATGATGACGGGCGCGTTGGTGTTGCCAGAAGGCACGGTGGGCATAATGCTGGCGTCCGCTACTCGAAGTCTGTCCACACCTTGCACCTGCAGCATAAAACTATTAGTTAGCAAAGGACGCGCAATCTTGATTCAACAAATCCGTTCTTGTCGCAAATATGTCTAAACAAATAAATAACTATTATTACGTCAACATATTGCGATGATTTATGTGAGCAGGGGGTTCTCGCAGCCGGCCACGGGGCTTCTCGCAGCCGGCCACGGGGCTCCTGTCCAGCTTCAGCCCGTACTTCTTCAGCGCCTTCGTCTCCGACAGCTTTATCGCGAACTTTATTCCCTCTATCAGTGTTCGCACGTCGTCGGCGTGCGTTAAATAGCTGGGAGATCGATTGGTTAAATTTAATTTAATTGAAATTAGAATTTCATATACGACGGTGGTAGGGCCACGTAGCAGCTTCGGTTGTTGCACGAATGGGCAGGCTCGTCCGGGTAAGTACCACGACCTCACAGAAGACCGGCGTCAAGTGGAAGTATAATATTTTCGCGTTTCGTCTGGTCAGTAAGGTGGGCGGAGCCCAATTTTCAAAAGGTGGTCAACGCATCTGGAACCCTCAGGTGTAGCAGATGTCCATGTGCTGCGATGTTCACTTAACATCAGGTGAACCATCTGCTCGTTTGGCAACTTTTCACATAAAAAAAAATCATATACCTATCCTATGTTCAGGCCACACATTTAAATAGAACTTTTTTATTAAAGTTCGATTCTGTACGCAGGACACAGTATTTATCTCCTTTGTAACTCATAAAGTAGTTATTTGAAAAGCAAATTTAGTTCAGTATTTTTATGGTTAAATTTTTATTAGTGATTATTACCTTCACGGATTTGCAAAACTTTACATAGAGTTTAGAACAAAACGCGTGACGATATCGAAAGACACTAGGTGAATGTTTCCTTCTAATATATTTTACGCTAATTATCGTTTGGGAGTGTATTAAAAGAAAAAAAGCTTTACGTTAAGCAAAAGTGTTTTTTCAAAAGTTGTTCATTAAATGTCTCAAAATTAATTTAGTGCACTCTTTGTCGTCAAAAGTAATCTATTTAAGTTTTGTCTCCTTAAATAATCGTTAAATTTTAATAATGTTCCTCACTTTGCGTAAATCTTGGGATGGGCAAAGGGGTCGTTGCTTGCTATCTCCAGGCGGCCTCGGCTTTTGGGGTGCAGGACTGCAGGGAACATCTGGATGTTCCGAGAGCCGTTGCCAAGGCTCTCCCCCACCATGCCGGTCTTGGCGCAGTCTGCCAGGAAGCCGCTGAAGAACAGCTGGATGTCAGGGTTGTCACCTTCGGGATCCGCGTACTTAGTGTTAATGAACGCCGTCACCTCCGTCACCTCGGAGGTTTTGAATACCTGGAATGTGATGCAAACATTCTAAATAAAAAGATCAGGTTTTTTGTTAAATACAAGATAGAAACTGGTTCGTTTCGTACCCGTGCCCGACATGAGGCCGTCCCTGAATAGCAGGTACTCCATCGCGGTGGCCCAGTTGAGCGGCGCCGTGTTGTTGTCGCGCATCGTGAAGGACACGAAGTGCGTCACGTGGTTGTGCAGGTTGCGCCCGACGGCCGGAAGCGCGTGGCGCAGCGGCACGCCGGCGCGCGCCAGCACTTCCGGCTCGCCGACGCCGCTCTGCTGCAACAGCTGCGGCGACCCTATAGCGCCCGCGCTGGATCAAATATAAAACGAATATAGATGATGCATGTCCATACAGCACGGCGTTTAAAAATTGTTCCCCTTTATTGATATGAATAAGTGAACGTGACAGATGATGTGGAATGTATGACACGGAAAGAGATAGCAGTCTGTAGAATTGCACAGTCTGTACAATTGCAATCTAATTACACAAATTGAGTGCCTCATTTTAAGACTGCTAGTGTGGATAGTATTGGGTTTTTAGCAGTATACGAAAAAGGACGAAAGTTGTTTACATAAGCCGTTCGGTGTCAAAACGGCACCGGTTAGTAACCGCTTGGACGGATCTTTCCATCTCTACAAACATATATTTTGCAATTTTTCCTGAAGTCCGTTGGAAAATCTTCCGTATTATAATACTCTAAAATTTCTGCATGATCTACTCTGAGGAATGGAACAGTTTGACGCCACTGGTCTTTCTTTTCGACGTGAGGGCAAAACTATCTTGTGGCTCTACTTACCTCTACTTACTTGGCTTTAACTATCTTGTGGCTCTTTACAATCTCACGATGGAAACATTACTGCGTGAGAATAATTTCGATTACGATTTATTGAAGGCGAATTAGTTGTGAGCTATTTTGGGCAACGCCATCTTACCTCAGTATAATCTCGTTGTTGGCGAAGATGGTCTCCAAGGCTCCGAAGCTGTTGCGCACCTCCACCGCGTACGCGCGCCGCGACGCCTGATCGATGAGGACTCGTGTGGCGGTGGCGTTCAGCATCACGTGCAGGTTCGGCCGGTTGGCGGCCGGCCGGAGGAAGGCGCGCGCCGTGCTCAGCCGCGACCCGTTCCTGTTCGTCGTCTGAGCGATCGCGAAACCCGTGTGCCGCGCTCCGTTCACGTCCACCGCTTTGTAGCCTGCGCGTGGTCCAACAGTCACGAGTTAAACATAATGTACAATATAGGTGACGCATGTCCACACTGAGTGGCATAAACATTTTTCCGCTTTGCGTGATATGGAAAGGAGTAGCAGTGTATAAAATGAGTGGCTTGATTTCGGTGCGCTATATATTTATGTAAACTCAATGATACTGATTGAGTAGAACGGTCCGGTCGGCCTTATAATTCTACTTCAAGACTCAATGAGGCTACATTCAATGGTGAAAATCAACAGTAGCTAATTCGACGATGGCGTAGTGGATAATTCACCAGTTTCTTGCGCCAGGGGGCGTGGGTTCGATCCCCAATACTGGAAAAACATTAAATAAATGTGTGATAAACATAGCTTTTCTATAATATGTATTTATTTACAAAAAAAAGTATGTTTATCAAATACCTTTGTACGCACAATACCAGATGGTTTAGCTTGGGGTCAGATAGCGTTGTGTAAAAATATGTCCTGAAATATTTAATAAAATATTTACAATGACCGCGACTCACCCAGCTCCTCGCCGGCTTTTACGATGCTGTAGCTGAGCGGCGGGTGGTAAGGGAACTGGGAGATGGTTAAGGGTCCGCCAGTCGAGTGGTAGCCGGCGTCCATCGCCTCCGGCTGCTTGTTGTCCTCCGACTTGAGGAAGAAGGGGAGCACGTCGTCGTAGCTCCAGCCCTCGGCGCCAGCGGCTGCCCAGCCGTCGTAGTCCTTACGCGAGCCGCGGATGTACATCATCCCGTTCATGGCCGACGTGCCACCCAGCACCTGATGCAACGTTTTACGCTTTAGCTGTGTGTGCGTGCGCATGCGATGCAGTTTGGCTGCCAAGCGAGCAGACGGTTCACCTGATGTTAAGTGAATACCGCCGTCCATAGACATCTGCTACACCCGAGGGTTGCATATGCGTTGACAACCTTTTGAAAATCGGGCTCGGGCCACCTCACCAGACGAAACGCGAAAGTATTATACTTCCACTTTACGCCGGACTTCTGTGAGGTTGTGGTACTTACCTGGACGAGCCTGCCCATTCAAGCAACAGCCGGGGCTGCTGCGTGGCCCTACCACCGCAAAAAATCACAACCAAATGGCACTTATGGATTCTACTAAATGTTCAATTAAATGTTTTCTTTTAAATTCGTCGATTTTCAGACAGATGAATAATGACAGTTTTGATTGATCATTGAACTCTGGAATAACACGAGAGTGTAATATTCATATGAACTACTAGAATTATGCTACACAATATTACATTCTGATACAATTCTGATTATTTAAATTTAATAGCCTTGATTGTGAGGTACTCTAAGGGTGGAACATGGCATTGGCATTACTAAATTAATCGGTTAAAACACAATTGTTTTTTGAACTAAATATATGTTATTCAGGACATTTTAACAACTTTTCATTACAAAATGACAAATAAAAAACAGAGATAAAAAAAATGATAATTTAGACCTTCGTTGTTGTTGAAGCAACAGACGTTAACAATAAACGTAAACGTACGTTAATGTAAAAGTATGGAAAACAATCCGGGCCTACCTTTCCCCTGGGCCAGTAGCAGCGTCTCTCCTTCTCCCCGAGGCAAGCGGCCGGCTCTGGTTCCGTGAGGTACCCCCAGTCGATGCTCGACCCGATGAAGTTCAGAAACATAGACGGCACCTGAGCGCCCGTCGGCTCGTCGAAACCTGGATGTTGACAGTTTGTTTTAGTTTTAAATTGAACTTTTCTTTCTCCCGCCCCGGGACAACATGTTGTTTATTTATTTATTTATATTTGTTACACCAACAAGATGAACCCAAAATGTAATAACACTTTGGCGCAATGTTATTACATTTGGGGCCTAACAATGTATGAAAGCTGATCAATCTCTTTTAGACAATTTACACATAATATGTAATAGGACCAAACCACAGTGCATTATTTTAATTGTAAATTGTATTTGCTATTCCTTGCGAACATTTCCATGGGAACTGACACCCAGATGTGGTTCAGACAAATACTTGACCCGTGTCGGAATCGAACCCACGACCCCTGACGCCGAAGCCAATGGCTTAGCAACCGCGCTTTAATGAAGATGATAAGTGCAGGAAATGGAAGTTGGCAAATATCATCTGTGTCTTTCAGGACAGTCAACTTTTACTTTAGGTCATCACAACGCACACAAACAGTGTTGTTTGTTCGAGCCAAAAATTTGAGGCGTAATATTTAGAATGTTTGTGCGATAAAAGATAATAACCAATATTTGAACTGCCTCTATAACAACCAAATGTCACTTATACAAAAATATACGTGTACTTCTTATCTTGTATCTTCAAGAAAACAGTTTAAATTACCATCTTATATTCCGTATACAATAATTTATATATATATATATATATATATATATTTAAGACGTTTGCTGCAGTATCCCTATCTTTTGTTGGTATCGCACTTCTTATCGTGAAATCCCTTTCCGGACGAAGCTACTTTTGACGCGTGTACGTTTCATTACAACCCTTACCGGCTTCCAGCAAAAGCACCCTCCATTCTGGCACCTCGGAAAGGCGGGCAGCAACCACCGACCCGGCTGAGCCCCCGCCCACCACAATGAAGTCGTACACGGAGTCCATGTGACGCCGGTACTGAAATCAGAACTCTCATAAAGTCCTCTTGAATGTATTTATTTTAATGTTTCATGTTGGTGGTTAGTTGGTAGTTATTTTAATGTTGGTGGTTGACCACCTAGAAGGTGGACATCCGCAACACCCCATGGCTTGTTGATGCGATGGCAACTTTCAAATCTATGCTGCGGTACCTCACTTACCAGACGAAATGCGAAAGTCTAATGATTATACTTTATGCCGGTCTTTCTGCTTGCTCTGAGCGTGCTCATTCGTGCCACGCATCAGCTTGTTGCTGTTGCGTGGCGGACGTGGTGGACTATGCCCTAACATCTGTGGTCAAAGACTTCTCACATATTAGTCAGAATATAACTTTCACATTTATTTTACTTTTAATTTTATAGTATTCATCTTCATGGTATTAGATTTATTTATTATATTATTATATATTTATTATATTAATTATAAAGATTATAACATTCAAAATAACCCCAGATCGAATAATGGGTCTTTACCTTGAGTTCAATTATATACACAGATATTTATATACGTACTACGCATTACTAAACCTAAAATTATCAACGGTGTAATCATACTATTGTGCATTAAATAAACAAACGCCTTTAATGAATCGCGTGTGGCGATTTTATCGTTCTTAATTATGTCTTTTTTAATTTCCGACGTTTTGTATTTTTCGCGGCATCCACGGTCACGGGATGGGTTCATTATTCATGTTACTTCCGCGAAATTGTTAAATACGTAATATGCATTTCGTGTAAAACGAATCATAAATACTTGAATAGTATTCTAAAACTGAATATAAACTGTTAGTTTATATTCAGGCTTAAAAGCGTGAAGCATATACATAGGCTTCCTCTATCGATTTTCCATCTAGAGACGTACCGTGGCCTTTGTCAGGTCTAACATTTAATACCTTAAAAAATTTATTACAGTGTTATTTAGCACCGTGAACAATAATGTAGGTATGTATGTATTTATCGAGAGAGCTAATGTCTGTATGTAAAAAAAGTGTTTTTTTAAATCTTCCACATTGGTGTAACCGTTAAGATTCACATTGTTCCCAAAAGCCACATAAGATTTGCATGACGTGAGGACATTGGCCGCTTGGCTCAGTTGCCTAGAGCGTCTGGGCGCGTTACTCAGAGGACGCAAGTTTAAAACCCGCACAGGAGAAAAAATATTTCAATAATTTATCTTTTAAACTTTCATTTAAATTTTATCTCCAGTGCATATTACCACTAAAAATAAAAAAATATTCCTCATATAACATAGTAAATGTCCATAGTATGACCTATATGGCATTAGTATTATTTTTTGTGTTGGTGCTTTAGAAAAGAAACCGCATAACAGTGGTTAGTGGTAAATTGGCCATAACATAATCTGCCACAAAACGTCACAGTAGCACGCCACTTTGAAGTGATTAAAGAACGTCATTATTAGTTTTTACTGTCGCGGTGTCTTTTTTTTAATACAATGCCCTTACTTTAGGATAACATTATACATTATCCTGTGTTGTAAGGACGTTTTACAAACATAAATGTTACGTGGACAAACACCCAGATGCAAAACAACTACCTGTGGGTCACACAAATAGTTGTCCCGTGTGGGAATCGAACCCACGACCCCCGACGCCGAAGCCAGTATACCTTGGCTAATGGTATTATTATCATAATTAACTTAGCACTTGTAAGGAATAACATATGAAGTTTCTTATGATGTTCAAGCAAGCTACACGACCTGCAGGCCTGGTTGCAAAGCATTTCTGATTATGTATAACGTGTGGTTTCTTTGAACTATAACGACGGGATCGCTTTAAAGACGAAATTATGTAGCGACAAAAATGTCCTGCGCCGGTCCAGTTTTTGCGGGCTCAGTTTTGGCTGTGGTAGGGCCATGCAACAGTCTTCCCTGTTGCACGAATGGGCAGGTCCGTCCGGATAAGTACCACGACTTCACAGGAGATCGGCGTGAATAGGAAGTGTTATACTTCTGCGTTTCGTGAGGTTGCCGGGGCCCACTTTATTATAAGTAGGCAACACATGTGTACGGGCGTTGCAAATATCTGTGTTCGGCTTTGTCTGTTACAACTTAACATCAGGTGAACCGCCAGATCGATTGCCACCTTCTCACATAAAAAAATAAACACTCAAATTTTACTTCGTCGCTTTAAATGCATCTTGATAGAGCCATCACATTTATTTATTTCTTATTTTGTTATTGGTTTGAATGTGAAATCGGTCGATGTTCATCCATTATGCCGTTATAGCGGGAACAGTATGTACTTGCAATAGGCTGTGGTTTAGCCGTCACAGATTATATAACAGATATTGTTCTCGCATTTGGCTGGTTGTAGAAAACCGCAAGTAACAGCAAACGGGACTCAAAACGCTTCAAAGCTGATTCTTGTCTGTGGTCACGTTTAATAAATTACACAGAAAATTATTCGAACCGTTATTTATATTCCTCATTTCATCAGTAGACTTTACTGTGAACAGATTTCACAATAATTTAATACTCTTTAGTAGAACACTCATTACTTCCGGCGCTCTCTTTCATTACTTAGTGCCTATCTTAGTATACTTCTGTATGTCTTAGTGTATTTCTGTTGCCGTTTTAACAAAAAAGCAGAAAAAAAGACATGATTTTTTTGACGTTTTTATAGATAATGGTACGTAAACTTTCGTGACCGAGATCGACTCGCTCTTGGCTGGTTTTTTTAATAACGACCACGGTAAAAGGAAGTACGCTTAAAATAAAGCAATTTTTTAGCTCATATTGGAGGATTTGGGTTTGCAGAGATAAATTAACAATATTACTTTCACTTTCAAAGTCTTAGTGCATGATATGATTTGATAAAAACATTATTAGTGAATGTAAAAGCCGCTGATATAGGACACCGCGCCTAAGGGAGAATCTGAACTGCTAGAAAGCAACAAGAATTACAAATAATTTTGCAAATGCTTAAGATTACCGCAATAACTTAGCTGCGTTTGTTTAAGTCTTGAAATAATTAAATTGCGTTATAGTATTTATTAATTGTTACGCATTAATTAGATTCATACGTTGTTACTTGTCCTTGAATTGGTTAGGGTTGCAAATAATTTTTAGGATATAACATTGTAATTACTGTTGATGATTTAGAGAAATATTTAAGTCACGAGTTGGGTACTAAACACTACTAATAGCCCAAATGAAGTTTTATTGTTGCGGTATCATTTGATAAACTCAAAGTGGAAGTAATTTTTTTTATTAGCTGTCTTGTTTTCCCGATTGGTTTTTCCGGCTCATTAAAGTTAACCTTTTGAGATAAGAAATGGTAACAAAATTGGCATTTCTTCGTTTTTATATACATTTCCACTCACAAGATCATTAAAACCCATCGCTTCGTGAACATTAAGGATGCGTATTACGTGGTATTACTTTAATATAAGCGCAATACAAAATAAGAGAGAAATACATTATTAAATTTTCGCCCAGCGTTGGAGACAACATTCGACGCCTATAACGTTTAGTTTATAACGTTTGGGTCTACTGTGTTTTTTATGTGAGAATATGGCATGCGATCTGCAGCTAGCCATCTTATAATAAAGTGTGCCCCGACTACCTCGCTCACAATACGAAACGCAGAAGTATTACACTTCCACTCACCCCGACCTTCTGTGAGGTCGTGGTACACCTGGAAGGGCCTGCCCATTCGTGCAACAGAAGCTGTTGCGTAGTCCTACCAAAGCTCCCTCCACCTGCCAGTTACAGTATAACAGTTCTCCACCTGCGTCCGCCCGCATGGGTCCTCAAGGTCGCACTGGCTCCTCAGGAATACTTCGAGGAGCCCCATGAACAGCATGAAGGCGCCGCCGCCGCACGTCGCCGCAAGAGTTGGGCCCGGCTGAGTCATCGGGCAGTTGCAAGTGATCGCCATCTGAGCAAAAAGATAACAAATTTGTCAATATTACATCGACAGCCATGGAGCCGTGATAGCTCAGTGTCCAGGCGCCGTCTTTTAATTCAATATACTCGAGCATACAGAGCCGTGATTGCTCAGTGTCCGGGCGCTCACCTTTAATTCATTTTACTCGAGCAACCTGAGTTCGATCCTCGGTGCCAGCATCAATGATATTGTTAATTTTAAGTGCTGACTTATCACGTGTCATTTAGTAATTAAAATTAATATTCGGCGTTATAGACGTATTTTACATATTATATAATAATTGTAGATGGAGTAGCACTCAGATTTAAACAGTTACTAATAGATCATATAAAAGAGCTGGATCAGTATTAATTATAGAATATGATACACGAACAAGGTTATTCACTTTCACACCAGCCGGACCGTCCGAAATTCATTTGCATGAAAGTGAACGTTACTGAATTGTATTATTAGCTGCTAAAATAATTTGATAATCAGAATTAGATTTCGTCTCGAAAAAATATACATCTGGCCCACTTTTTTTTATTGTGTAATTATTAGGTATGTGCATATTTTAATATAGCATTTCTCAACTTAGCGCATGAACTATTCGCGAGTGAAAGATAATAAGATAATCTTATCAATGTTCATTTATACCAATACTAAAAAGATACAGCGCGAACTTTTGTGACTGTGTATAATCTTTACTGTGGCTGTTTATAAAATCCTCGTTGACGAGTATATAAAATATAATTGTCTTTACTTATTATATAACAAGTTCACACTGGTTACACCTTTCCATTCAAAAACAGAATAATGGGAGAGCAACTCATTAGTGCAAATAGTGCGCATAACAATTGCCTCAGATAACGCTCACACTGTTCGCAGGAGATAAATTATGAATAGAAATATGTTTGAAATTCGTTAATTTGGTAACTGATTATTTAACAAGACCAACCAAAGATTTATTATTTATACTATCAAAACAATTAAATGAAATAATTAGAACTGGTGTAAAATATTTTATTTTTTATTTCGACGAATATCCCCAAACTGGCCGGAAATGTAAGAAAGACGATGAACAAGATAGTGACGAAAAAAGAAATGGAGTTTAGGTGGGATAGATAATGTAAATTTATAATAACAATGATTATGTTGTAATTAAAAACATATAAAACATTATAGCAGATAATATCAAGATATGAAAGATTTATTAATTATTAATTACATGAAAAAAAAACTTATAATGTGTGTAATCAAGACCCCATTTTTAGTAAATTGTAGTATTAATTTTCAATTCAAGCCTACGTATATGCCCCACTGCTGGACAAACTTTGCACTTTACTTTACACATTACTTTATATGTGTAAAGTAAAGTGCAAATTACTTACTGACCACATTAGGTCAGATTTTACATTCATATCTTCGAAAAATCTTTTCGTCCGTCCTGAAATGGTCATACATCTTTTAAAAGACATTTGCAGACATCTTTTCTATACCATACTATTACTACCTGTACACAGTCCTTACCGCAATCCCTTTCTTTTCTTTACTATCTTCTTAGACACCAGATATAAATTAGTCAACTATCTTGCTTTAACACATAAACCAAATGCAAAATCATAATCAAATTTGCAGAACCTGTTGGACTAAAATTGAAGACATCCAAGAAAAGTGTAGTTGGAGATTTTATAGTAAACCTTCGTTCATTCAGACTTGATTGGATTCATCCACGTAAATGTCAACACGGATCGATTTACACAATTCTGAAGGTAATTTTAGATATGATTAATGGATAAGGTAAATTAACGCGTTCTTATGGAAGTCCGGGGATGCTTGGATGAACATTAAGGTCTTTGTGAGCGGAGTTTAATTCATGACCGGTTGTTTGTAATTGATTTGTCACGCACACGGCAAGGCATCATCATGACAATAAGCATCGGATTTTGGATGTTACAGGCGTATTTTCGAATTCTAGGAGGCAGAATATGTTTTTCAAGATACAAAAATCAATAGCTAGAGTTAAAATTGCAACAGTCACCCATCAGGCTGAGTATGCTCAGCGAAATGCTGTTCGTTTGGCCCTATTAGTTTTATTTTTCAAAAAAAATGTAATTATATAATTTTTTTTTTATTATTCAACAAGTTAATGTTCCGCATTTCTTTTCTTCATACATGCTCATCCCGAGTATCTAAAGGGTAGACGGGAGCTCAGTTAACAAAAGCTACTCACTGAATATTTGGATCAGCAGGAAACTTATTCAGTTCGAAAGAGAGGCTGTGGAGTGTCGGTTGTTAATTATTGCGGGCAGTCTTTAAATGAGGTGATGCCAATCTTCTTAGATTCAGAAGGGGAGTTTCTTTCTCCTCGCGTTTAAATTTCTTATTGCTTACCGCATTACGTAAAACAGGTATGAGAGTTCGTCTATTATATGTTTACATATAATAGATGAGCGATATGTTTAATCCTGGCTGCCTATACAGATCACATGAAGATATTTCTTTCTACTCTTCCTTTAAACATTCTGATATAATTTTTATGAAATCTCTTAATTGCTACGAAATAATTAAATGTTGTTGGCTAATGGTTTAGTTATTTGCACGATGTCCCGGGTAGCGACGTAATAATAAATACTCAAAATATTAGATAGGCAGTCTTTCCTAGTGAAATGCGGTAGTTAATAGATATATTTAATTTTTGATCTCAACTGTCTTATTGAGGTAGGTAATGTAAGTAAAGATAAAGCGTACTATTAAAATTACTAAACGTGACAAGCTGAGCCCAACGCCGTATACTGGACACACGTGAGATAGGTTACCGCACATAATATGTAAGAAAATGATGGCTAGATCCAACAGGGTTACAGCAATTTTGGTTCGCCAGGCAAACAGGCGACTTGTCCTTACAGTATTACTATTTTTTAATAAAGCTAATTAAACTGTAGTTAGGTGACAAGTTGATGGTTTAAATGATGGAACGGAATACTTTCAAGGGTAGACGTGAGATGTATGTTCGAATAGTAAAAACAATGTCGACATCATTGCGCACTTTACCAATTACTAGTTTATTTAATATTACGCAAGCTAAAATCCAGTTTCAGTATAAATCATTTGATCTGGTTGCGGGTTACATTTTGGGTATTTCGTAACGTTTTTAACGAGCTCAAATGCAGGGTGTTTGGCATTGAGAGATTAACGAAAACATTATCTTCAATAGTTCATTGAGGTCAACTCGTTTACGTCTGTTAAGTCAAGTGTCTAGATTCGGGTTACAGTTCGTTCCTGATCGTGAATAGGTGAATATGACAGTACAAGACAATATATGTGGTCGAAACTTCCTTTTTTCATCTGAAGGTTGGCAATCGAGAAGGTGGTTCACATGATGTTAAGTGATAACTGCCGCCCATATCACATCACCCTTGGGGTATCAGAAGAGTTACAATCTTTTAGAGAATTCTGCCAAGTTACATCACTCACCAGATGTAACGCTTTAGCAGGGTAGGCATATGCCTACCTAGATTATTTTGGCAGCCAGATGGGATAGTGCAGTAGTGTGTCTATTTAATCACTTTCACTGTAACCGTCTGGCTGGTAGACATTAAATGACATAATGAATATGTTTCATAATTTTATTTGGTATCTGCTTACTAATACTAACACTAGATTATAAGTTTCCGTTTTACTAATATATATGTGGATTGTAAAATTATCTGGTATAAAAATATGTAATTATTATTACATCCCAGAGTAAATTTTTCTCCATTAAGTTTAATGTGATTCTTTTAAAACAGATGCGGTGGGGCTCGGCCCGAAAATGATAATTTTTCGAAAGCGGAATTGCGTAATTAGTAAAATTAAAATTTCAAATCGTGTTAACTGTATAATTTTGTTAAAATTATTTGTTTCATTTTCTGCATACATTATTTTTTATTCCGAGCGGACAGAACGTATGTTGTTTTTATAATATGGGTAAATTAAAAAATAATTACACACTGCCGCTAAGTACAATTAACTACTCTTAATTATTTACTCTTTTGAATTCAGAGGCATCGTAAACAAAGTTGCGAAGTCATTATGAGATTCGTTCTATAAGTATTTGTTTATATATTAAAGCATAAATGGACTTTATTCGGTGGATTAGCGATTGCAGATACGATCCTACGGTCTGAGGTCGCTGGTTCTAATCCGAGTCATGTGTAACAAAGCACGGTACTACAGTTGTGCCTCGTTATTTTCTTTACGTGAGAAGGTGGCAGACGACCTGGCGGTTCACCTGATGCTAAGAGAGCCGCCGGCCATTGTCATTTGCAACACCCGTAGGATTGCAGAGGCGTTGCTGCCTTTAATAAAGCCGGCCCCAGCTACCTCACTCACCAGACGTAACGCGAAAGTATTACACTTCCACTTCACGCCGGTCTTCTGTTAGGTCGTGGTACTTACGCGGACGGACCTGCCCATTCGTGCAACAGAAAATACTGTTGAGTGGCCCTACCACAGTAAGATCATTGTTATGTCAAAGCCAAGCTCGCTAATTGAACGTGAGCCACATTGAATTATCACAAATTTGAATTACCATACGCAACGGGGATTTCAATCTACAACTTTATTTAGCAAGTTATATGTGCCAGCCTCCAGACTATGACTCTGGCTTGTGCAGTTTAAGGCTTTCGATTGCGCCCATGAATGCCAATAATATGGGAGATCAGTGTTCGGGCGTTTGCACTGAATTTAGTATACTCGAGCAACCTGAGTTCAAATTAAAGTATGGAAGGAAGGTACTAATTAAATTATTAGTAAAGTAATTAAATTATTTTCAATTTCAATTGCAGAAGTATCACGTGCTCGGTGAAGAAAACCTGGATATTTTCAGGTAATTGTAACAAAAAAAAGAACTCGGAGTTATATTTTCTTTTGCATACTCATTGCTAAATTTTAAAATAGAGTGCGTCGTCATTTCACATTCAATACAAAACGCAAAAGCATAAATACCTCTACTTAAAGTAGGTCTTCTG